TGCTGGCGGCTCCTCTTGTGTGGGCGGGGATGCCGCTGAAGGATCCAAGGCAGGGAAGGGAAGAGAAGCTGACGCGGGCGGGCGGGTCGGTGGTGTGTGTGTGGGGGGAGAGGTCCGGTGTAGTTCCCCGGAGGCACATGGTTCCGTTCCCTCACCGCCGGGAGCCCTTTGGGACCAGAGGAGAGGCCCGTTTGGCCGCCCAGCAGCATCTGCTTCACAAAGTGACGGGCCGGGTGTTTCTGGAAGGGTCAGAAATGGGGGCGGGGGGGCGGTTGAAGCCCTTTCTCGCCTCACCCCCAAGCATCCCTTTTCTCCCCTGGACGTGGAAGTTCCGTTGAGGACTCGTGTGAAGAAGTGGTTGGTGCCTCTTCCCTGCCAGGAGTGCCTCTCTCGCTTTTCTTTGCCTGAGCGGTGAAGCCGGGAAAAAGAAAGGGGTTCCCCTCCTCTGCGTAGTTTAGGAAAAGGGAGAGGTCAGGCCTACAGGATCTGCTCTGAGCCTGTTTTTTTTCTCCCAACTGGCCCCAGGTGTGGCAGGAACTGCCTCAAAAAGGCGGGAATAGAAGTTCAGGGTGAGGTGCCTTCTTAGAGCACGTGTTTGGCCCAGGAATTGCTGTCTAGTATGGTAACTTGCATTTATAAGGTTAGCAGAAGTCCAAAGCAACTTGACAGCGTGTAGCAACAAACCACAAGCAAATCTCTTTTGGTTGTCTCTTTTAGGAAAACACTCTTCTTTCTTCTCACATGGGTTCAGCATGTGCAGTGTGGAAACCCATAGTAGTCAACTCAGAGATCACAACAGTAGTCCCCTTGATATTTTTGGCTGTCCCCCTTAGGAACCTTGGTTTCATGTGCTCCATAGGAGTTAATGTATGGAGAAACAGTGAGCATGTGCATTCAGTTTTGCTCTAGTTTTTGAATGCTTGGATTTGAAGCATCTGACTGAGGTGGAGTAATAGCAAGATGTTCTGTTGGAATATAGTATGAGAGAGCGAGCCTTGAAGCGGAATATAGCTGTATTGTTATTAAATAGGTGTTTTGAAGTCACTAAAAGGTTTAGAAATTGTGAGTATAGTTGGAAGGGGAGAGTGCTGCCTTTTAAAAAAGTAAACACCCACCAACTTATATGGTGTAGTAGGTGACCATCTGGCCCCAAGAAAAATAAGAGGTAGATGTTTTCAAGGAGGTAATTATGTTAGTCTCTTTCAGCAACTGTAACGAAAAGGAAAAGACATAGGGTACCTTAAGGACTAGTAGATTTATTTCAGTGCAAACTTTCTGGATTACAGTCCACTTCCTCAGATATGTCATTGTGAAGGGAATGAAATATAGAAGTTAGATCATCTAATGAAAAGAATCAGGCACAATCAAGTGCTTTTTAGTTGTGTTGCTCAATATTGTATCCCTGGTGATATTAAAAAATTTTCTGTGGAAGTTGTATACTGTATTCACATTCTACCAGCTAAGATTAGGCATCCTTCAGTCTCGAGAGACTATGGTATTATGCTCTGTTTACCAGTTAAACAGTGTACTGTAATCATAAATGTGCTGTAGGAAGAAAAAATAAGTTAATAGGTATGAAATATATCATATCTAGGGCTTGAAAAATACAGTATCCACACAGAAGTGTAACTCAGAAGGAAAATCTCTGGATTACATGCAATTTTTTTTTGCATGTCTATGTGCGCTTTCACAAATGTTGGATTGAAAAAATCTTCTAGCAGTTTGTGTCTACATCCTTGCTATAATACTGTACGTATATTTTCCCCAGGGCTGAAATTGTGGAAAGATTGTGATACAATATGGAAATCAACATTGTTTCTTTCAGTGTAGCCCCTTTAATGTAACATTTTGTTACTTGTGAGAGTGTTGTGAAAGTTCCCTCTCACTATGCATTTTCTGCAATCAGTCATAGGTACTCTTACAAATAATTTTCTTGTATGTAAATTCCTTTTATTACTGAGACATGTTTCTCTAATGAAACTTTGTAGTTTAAAACTTCTTCTAGATAGTGTTTGTTTTATTTTATAGAGCTCAAAAAAGAAAGACCTTTTTTCTTTGTTAGGAAGCTCAAACCTTATTCTTTGTATAGTGGGAAAGTACTTTGCTGACTTATAATTAATTTTATTAATAACTGTCTCTCAGGTTCATCTGTCTTGCAGATTTTTTAGTCTAAAGCATCAGTTTTTGTAATAATGCCATTTAAAGCCTTAATAGGAAAATTCTTTGGTGTGCTTATGGACATCGAATACTTCTCTGCTTTCGTTCTTTGCTGATTACAAGACAATATACATCTTGCTTGAGTTGGTTGCAAAAATGTTGATGTTCATATGCTTTCTTTTCTTTCACCTGTGTTAATAATTCTTTTACCTTTTCTAGATAGGCAGTGTCCCATCATGGATTGGCAGCCAGATGAACAGGGCCTCCAACAAGTACTTCAATTACTCAAAGACTCACAGTCTCCAAATACAGCAACCCAGCGGATAGTACAAGACGTATCTTTGGTCTAATTAAGGTTGTCCCAGTAATATAAGAAAACAAGCTTGGCATTTGCTGGGAGCTATAAAGAGCAAGAAAAAAGCAGTGGTTTGGGATAAATTATTAATTAGACAAGCAAATATGGTAGAGCACTACTTTGAAGGGATTAACCAGAAAGTGATATTTCTTGGGTTGTTCTAGCCTTAGAAACAATACAAAGTCTCTTTTATCTAAGGATTGGGGTGTTCTGAATAGTAAAGTCTCATAGATTTAGTAGAACTAAAAAAATAGGAAGTACTGAATTCATTATATGCAGGTTTGCAAACAATGCAAACTTTTTTAAAATAGTGTTCAAAATCCATTTTGTGTTGAATTGTTTTGAAATTTTGTTCAGAGATTATTTTCTTAACAAATGTTACAGAAATTGAAACAGCTCAATCAGTTTCCTGATTTCAATAACTACTTGATATTTGTCTTGACGCGACTGAAATCTGAGGGTATGTCCATTAATGCTATTACAATGGATGCTTGAAGAAAGGGCGTGTATGTCTCCATTATACACTGTTAAGGACTTCAAGCTTACAGTGTTTTACTCTCTAGTCAAATGAACACCTGTCCCAAAATTGTATTTGCTTCACTGAAAAGCTTGTTCCTGCCCAATTACCAACAGGTGTGACCCATGAATAACTTCAGAAAGTAATGAGTTACAGTTAATTGTGTTCAAAGAACTGAAATTGTTTGAATTATTGCAGTAGTATATCAGTGGTGAAGTTTGATGAATACTACTGCTGTGTGAAGTCACGGATAAAATTAGTTTTTGAAAAAATTGCACCTATTTTGCTGTCTAAGAATCAAACAAATTTTCATCATACTTGATGAAAATTCTGTGCAGTTAGAAGTCATTCTCATGATAAGCTGGGTCAATAAAATATATAGATTTTATCTGTCTCATGCATCCTGGGGTTTGTATAGCAGTACCTTTGTCTAAGAGATAGGACCTGTTTTCCATTCTATGGTAACTGAATTTAGTCCAGCAGAAAGCTAATACTGAATACTCTGGCCTGAATCCAATTGGTAGTCTGCACATTGAATCAATGAGAATTACATAAATGTTGCCGCACTTACTGATTAAACAGGCTTATTAAAGTTCGGTCTATTTGCTACCGTGTTTTCCTGACAATAAGAGAGGGTCTTATATTAATTTTTGCTCCAAAAATGCATTAGGGCTTATTTTTAGGGGATGTTTTATTTTTTTCAAGTACAAGAATCTACATTTATTCAAATGCAGTCATGTTATCTTCTGGTTGCTGTACAATGGTGGAGGTTTCACTTTAGAGCTTATTTTTGGGGTAGGGCTTATATTATGAGCATCCTGAAAAATCACACTAGGGCTTATTTTCATGGAAACAGGATAGATTCAGGCTTTTTTGTCTCATTCTTTGGAACTTGAGTAGCAGTGGCTTCATCCCTACCAGACTGAATTTTTGAGGACTTGTTCACAGCCCCTCCAGCATGTGGGAATAAATCCAGTGTTATTTATACTGTGTTCTTATTTTTCTTGTTTCTAATTAAAATAGTGGGATTGTGGTCCCTATTGTGTCAATTGATTGTTTAAATCTTTTTCGTAAAAGTTAATGCAAAGGCAGCAATTCTCAGCACAAGTGTGGGTTATAATGTGAACAAAGTTTACACAGGTATCTACTGCAGTTTTTGGCAATAGAATACCAATACATATCTTGAGCTGCGGATGATGTAATACAAGTCATTATATGAGACTTCCCCAAGTATAGTGGAACAAAAGATTATCATAAAAAAGCAATGGACTGAAGCACTAATTTTAACATGCTGAAGTGTACCATTGTGTACCACTGGAAATATATACATTTTTTTCTGGTGGTACATAATTACAAATTTTCCTTTTAATTTCACATATATTTATCACATGTAAGTGAACGTTATTACTGTATCAGAATACATATCATTATATGAGCCGGATGTTGTCATCTTTCTTATCCGGTTGGCTACATAAAATAAGACTGTGACACATTTAAGTGCAACCTGATTAATGAGCTTTCCTTAATTATAGTGTGGCCAAGAGGAACAGTAGGATCTTTCCAGTGAAAAGTATATATAGCACTCTTTGTATGATATTGTGGAACAGATTCCTGAAAATAGTGTTAAGTGATTATGTATCCCTAGACTGTGCTTTAGGGATACCCAGTCTGGTGTAGTGGATAGAGTAACTCAGGAGGCTTGTGTTAAAATCCCTGCTCAGCCACATCAGGGGTGTGAAAGTGCAAAACCATTCCTTAGGTATGTCACTTGCCTAAAAAGTCCTGTTAGAGTTACTATAAATTGTTTCTGACCTGAAGGCACAAAACAACAAATTGCTTTATGACCTGGGAATTAGAGTGGAAGCAGTAAAGGAATTCTTGTGGATAATCCTCAGTTTTTCCATTACCTCTGCTTGGATCACCATTACTTCTCTGTTTTTCTGTATCTTCTCTGATGTACAGCATAACAGGTCTTGCAGAATTTATTTCTACTCCAAAACAATTTCTCTAAACAGATGAACCGACTCGTTCTCTGAGTGGTCTGATCCTGAAGAACAATGTGAAGGCTCATTACCAGAGTTTTCCTCAGCCTGTTGCTGAGTTCATTAAGCAAGAGTGTCTTAACAACATAGGGGATGCTTCCTCTCTCATCCGAGCTACAATAGGTGAGTCTAGAGAAAAGGTGGCCACGATGTACCTCATCTCAGGGATGCTGAATTTGTATTCTTGAGGAACATTTAACTGTTGTACTTGGTGAATCCCATGGAAATTTGCAGAGAGGGGAGGAGAGTTGTGTTATGGCTGTCTCAAAGTCAGTGGTGTAAAAATGTTTGTTAATGAGTCTTATGTAATAGCAAACGCAATTGCAGTTTGTCATTAAAACAATCAATTGAGTAGAAATCTATATATTTTTACCTGTGTCATCTTGCATGAGTAAAAACCCATGATATTTATGAAGCAAATATTAGGTGTAAATTTCAGAGTATTGGCATAGAACCCAGATATGAAAAGGTCATGATATGGATGGAAGGTAGCTGTTTCAGGTCTAACATGCCTTAATAGTGTATGATCTGCAAAGTGTGGTTCTCCTTTTTCTTGCTTTTTGGCACCCCAAGAACAGGTAAGCTAAAGCTGCATGCAGAGTGAAAGGTAGCAGCTGCTCCTGGTATGACTGTGGGTTTAATAGATCTGACAAGTTAATCTCCCCAACCTCAAATACATGGGGGATGAGTGGGGCAAGTCAGAGCTTTCTGCCATCAGCTTGACTTTATAACGGAATAGATGACTAGCTAGGAGAAGCATGTTGTAGAGCCTTGGTGTGTGTCTCATTTTGGGTCTTGAGTAATAAAGCATCTTTTTTCTTGACTCTGATGTCTCTAGAAGGAGAGTTAATAAGGATAAGATGTGAGCTGATACTGATTTGCTCTGTTGGGTTGCTTTTCTCTTGTCAGGTATTCTCATAACGACCATTGCTTCCAAAGGGGAGCTACAGATGTGGCCAGAGCTCTTGCCTCAACTCTGCAACTTGCTCAATTCCGAGGACTATAACACATGTGAAGTAAGTGAGGAATGGTATCACGGCCTTATTGTAGTGGTCAGCAAGACATGCAATTGGTTATAGAACTGAGAGAACTTGGCATGGAAGGACTTCTTTTGAGGCTAATGTGGAAAGAGAATCTATATTTAGTATCTTCTTGATTTCTCAAACATGGCTACCTATAGTACAGTGGCCTATATGACAATTAAATGTATTAATGTGCCTTACATCGCAATCCTGCGTCTGCTTTCTCAGACATAAGTCCCAAAGTTCAGTTGGGCTTGCATTCAGTTGGTGTCTCTTTGTGAAAGAGGGCAGCTATAAAAAATTAAATGGGAATTTTAGAAAACTAGTTGCAGTTTCCTTGCCGGCTGTTCAGCATGAGGAAGAAATGTGCTCTCTGTGTATAATGTTTTCCAAGTAAAACTGCTGCTTTACTGGTACTGCATATTTTCACCAACCTTTGTGGAGAGAAGGTAAAATAAGCAGCATATTTTGGATTTAATATACTGCTTATTTAAGACCTGGCTCTTTAGGCAGGCCTTCCCTCCGGTCACTACTTGATTTTCTTTTCTATTTTAACTTCCATTTTGTTTTTCCATCTTGAATGCCACTAATATTATTGATTTGAATTGTCGTTTAATTGTTTATATCGAGTTTTCATGCTTTTAATGTAAGCCGCCCAGAGTAGACGTAGTCTAGATGGGTGGGATACAAATAAAATAAAATAAGTAAATAAATAAATACAAGGGTATGCATATAAACACAAAGCAGTTTGGGGCTGTGTTCTAGTTAAAGGGTAAGTAAGCTTCAGCTCTGTGGGGTAAAAAACTTAGAGCTGGATGTGAAAAAGACAGTTTAAATAACAAAGAATCCTGTGGCATCTGTAAGACAAGCATACTTACTGTAACAAACTTTTTGTGAGTGGTGTATCCATGCTAAATCTTGTTTGTCTTAAAGGTGCCACATGGCTGTTTCTTAGTTTGCTGCGGCAGGCTAATATGTGGGAACTAGTTTCAATTTAAGAGCACATGGTGGCGCTGCAGGTTAAACCGCAGAAGCCTCTGTGCAAGGTCAGAAGACCAGCAGTCGTAAGATCGAATTCATGCAACGGAGTGAGCTCCTGTCGCTTGTCCCAGCTCCTGCCAACCTAGCAGTTCGAAAGCATGTAAATGTGAGTAGATAAGTAGGTACCATCACGGTGGGAAGGTAACGGCGTTCCATGTCTAGTCGCTCTGGCCACATGACCACAGAAACTGTCTTAAAAGCAAACGCTGACTCTACAGCTTAGAGACGGGGATGAGCACCGTGCCCTAGAGTCGGACACGACTGGACTAAATGTCAAGGGGAACCTAAAGAGCTCTAAGCCCAAGAATTTATTTTGACAACTGTTCCTGAACAATCCTTCCACATAAAAATGCATTCCTGGTTTTCCTACCTCCCATTTAAAAATCCTTTTCCGCAGTATCATTAAGTGTGTGTTGGGGGCAGAGGGTCATTTTGTTGATGCTGGTATTTAAAAAGAAAGAAAGAAAATCATAGATCCTTGCCAACTTACTTCACAACTCCCTCAGGTCTCTCAATAGACAATCTGTCCAACCCTTTTCTAAAAGAGATCCAAGATGACTGATCTGTCATCTGCTTTGTCAACATGATATTTTCAACCTGAGGAGATAATGGGAATATGCCAGACTGCCTCCAGTTCTTAGTGATAAAAAATAGTCTTCAGATAGGTTTTTTTCTTTCTTTCCTCTTTTAAAAACAATCTTGTTGCTTCTTTGCTTGCAGCATCCCTCCTATTTAGGCAATCAGTTGGAACATCTCAGGCTGTTGCGTGGGAAGCCTGGCTGAGGGTAGGAAGACAACACGTTCTTTCACACTGGCAGCTTGTCACTTAAATGGCTTTCCTTTGGCACAGTTTTCAAAGTGAATACAGTTCGTGGTAGAAAAGCAGATTGAGTATCCTAGTCATGCTGCTGTAACAGGCTTTTAAATGATGCTCAGATGCTTGTTTCAAATTCATATAATTGGTGCTCACTGTTGCTTTGCTTTTTAGGGAGCTTTTGGCGCCTTACAGAAGATCTGTGAAGATTCTGCTGAGCTCCTGGACAGCGATGCTCTCAATCGACCCCTTAATATTATGATTCCAAAGTTTCTTCAGTTTTTCAAGCACTGTAGCCCCAAGATTAGGTATATGCCTCTTTTACTTTTCATCTGCATTTGTATTCCAAAAATTGAGCACAATCCATTCTTGTTGAACTTTCCTATTACAACTAAGCTTTCAGTTTAGTTGTAATAGGAGCTATAATTGATTCCTTCTTCCCTCTAATGAGGCAAGATCATGAGCCACCTTTAAGTTATAATTTGAAGTTCTGAATTGTCATTTCTTTTAGAGCAGTAGTCCCCAACCTTTTGGGGGCCGTGGACCGGCTGGGGAGAGTGAGCTCCATGCGTGGGGGGGCGGGGGATGTCACACTCGCATGACGGGCATGTCGCACTCGCATGAATGCATGGAAGTAAGACACGCCCCCCCGTGAGTGTGACACGCCCCCCCATGTGTGCATGGGGGGGGAGATCCGTGTCTACGACCCAGTTCTGGCAAGCCCACAGACCGGCACCTATTTTAGAGCATAAAAAGTTATGAGTTATGAGTTCCTGCTTAACAGAAAGTAGGGATTAATTATAGCTTCCTAGTTAATTTCTCATTTGTGTGGAGAGGGAATTGATACAGGAGCAAGGAGTCTGTTTGCCTTCAAATGCTGCTTCTGTGTATCTAGGCTTATCATACCAGGATATCTGGCTTAGCATAACTAACCAGGGTTTTTTTTTATAGAGTGGCATCCTTTTGTGATTAGAAATATAACTGTAATGTGGATACTGATGTAGCTTTGTCATGGAAAATACTTGTTCTTTCTGCATTTGTAAGTCTTTCTAGTACTGGTAACCAAAAATAGGATGAAAAATATATCAACTAATAACTGATTCTTAGAAGAAACGTTAAAAATGTTATTCTTTTTATCTTGTGATTTTAAGTTATAATGTTTCCAATTTATAATGTTTAGTGTTTGTTTATTATTTTATGTTTTTTTAATGTTACTTTATTTTAAATTATTGTTACTGCTTAGTGTTCTGGTTTTGTGTTGGCCTTGGTAGCCAAATGGCTGGTATACAAATCGAATGAATGAAAAAATAAATAAATGATGGTCCATATCAGGCTTAAGCATCCAATACAGTGTTTTATCAGACTAAAAATGAGCCTTTTGCCCATGTGTGCTTTCTCTTTCCTTTTGTCTCTGGAATCCAATATGCCCAGTGTCTGTAAAGGCATTGTTGCTATTTGCATTTGACTTGGGACACTAGCTTATTTTGTGTCAACAAATGAAGATATGAAAATGTACTGACTGTAGTTTCAGATTTAGTTTCTGCAACTCAAAACTGGCTTAATCAAGCTTGGAAGTACCAAATTTTGGTATGAGAAAGAGAGAATAAACACAAGGCACAAGGTTTGTGCCTTATTTCATGAGGAGTCAGCCTATACAAGTTATAGCATCCTGTAAACACTTTTAAATCCAGGATTGCTCCTTATTTGGCTGTGTATAGGAATACAGTGTGCTTGAAGGATATGATGAAATTGAAATGTTTTTATACGTCTTTATAAAGTTGAAATTACTTTTGTTTCTTGTTTTTAATTCAGAATGATATTTATTTGTAATGTATTCTGGACATTTTGTAGAGTAAGACCAATAATATTTTTCAGATACACAGATATTTAAGTCAAAAGTGGAAACTCTTGAACTGCAATTTATTTTGTCTGTTTGGTAGTACAGACTCTTTCTAAGTTAACCAGAAAAACTTTACCTGAGACAATATAATGCCATGGAGAAATGTTTTTAAGGCGAATAGTAACGGCTAGAATACATCATTGTTTTGGCTGTTTTATTTCCTTCATTAGGTCCCATGCCATTGCTTGTGTTAACCAGTTCATCATGGAAAGAGCCCAAGCCTTGATGGATAATATAGACACTTTCATTGAGGTAAGATTGCTTTCCATTTGTATGTGGTTGTTTGCGACAGTGAAGCATTACAGTCTCTGGTTGCTTCGATCAGGATCAAGTACTTGTGATTACCTGTGGCATTAGTTAGTCTTCTTAGTTCACAGACAGTCTCGGTATGGCCTGACTGCAGTTAAAATTCAACAGTCAGTCACAACTGGAGAAGGCATATTGAATTGCAGTAGTACCTTGGTTTACGAATTGAATGCGTTCTCCGGGACGTCATGTAATGTGAAAAATTTGTAAACAGAAATGCGGATTGTCATAGGAATGGGGGCGGTGCTATAAACCTCCAGGCACAATGCATTCTGGGGAAACTTCCTTGGTACTGTGAAAAACCGTAAACTGAGGCATTATTTTCAATTTATTTTCCTTCATAAACCGAAAATTACATTAACGGAGGTGTTCGTAAACTGAGGTACCACTGTAGTGAGCATTTGAAAACTCAGTTCCTCTGAATGTTCCATTGATTCAGTTGGCCGTCTGATTTAATACTGAATTTGAGCCAATATGTTTTAAAGTTAGCCAGTCCTCCACTTTTACCATACAATGAGGGGGAAAGATGAAAGGGCAGCCAAGCAGTTTTTCAAGGAAATGTGTTCATTTAATGATCTCTTGAAAGAATCCCTGATAAACTACTAAAGAACTAGAGAACTCTGTATGACATCATTTGAAACCCGTTCTATTAAGCTGACGTAATCCTCTAAAAATCAGTTTTCCCCACTGTGGTGTACTTCACATATTTTGGCCTACAACTCCTAGCAGTGTCACTTGCTATGGCCAATGACCAGGAACTGTAAAGGTGCCACTAAAAACACCAGGGTGTCCGATTTAGTTCTTTTCATATCTGTCTCTTTTCTCCTTCCTGGAAATATAGGAAATACCAGATCTGAAATCTTTAGTCCAGTGCCTAATCAGATTTCTTTAAGAAAGCGGGGGGGGGGGGGGGATTTTTAACATTTGCATCCTTAGCGTTCTCTCAGTGATTTCTTTTTTGCTGTAGTAATATATCTGTGGCCTGAGACAACCTTAGGAAAAGCCATAGGGTCCCGTTCAGAGAGTATTTGATTCTTTGTACTGATGTACTCCTTTACCTCAGGTTTAGACAAACATAGTATGGCCCTAGCTGTGCTTCCTGAGAACAAGGTTCCTGTTGTTTTGTACTTCCTCTGTACTTCAAAATGTGCAGATGGTGCCTGAAACTGACTGTTCATAGCATAGCACTAGTAGGCTGTGTATACCTTTAGGCTTTTCTGTTAGGCTTCTTGTTTTCTTCCTCTGTATACCTGTAGTCCCATCATTTATGCCTGGCCACGCCAAAAGTAAGTTTCATAGAGCACTTGAGTTTGCATTCAGAATAACCACATTGCTTTGTTTGTTGACAGAGAGCACTGAGCATAATGTCGCTCTGCATAGGAATAGAAGCCCTCTGTACAGGTTGCAGCAATTGTGGGCAATAATATGAAAGGACAGGTTTTGATGAGTTGATGGGATGGCATTGGATCTTTTACATCAAGGGGAGCTTTTTGGTTAACATTAATTGTTCTTCCAATTTGCAGCACCTGTTTGCCCTGGCAGTTGATGAAGACCCAGAAGTTCGAAAGAACGTTTGCCGAGCATTAGTGATGCTGCTAGAAGTGCGGATTGACCGACTCATCCCTCACATGCATAGTATCATTCAGGTGAGTGCCCTTCCTCTACCAAGCAGGTCTGCCTAAAATACTGTCTTGACCCATACTGATTGTTGATTTGAGTTTACTGATTTTTGAGATATCGGTAATATGATGGTAAGAACCCTTACCAGCTAGGTGGCTCTGCTGGCATTTTTTCCCTTCCTGTTGCCCCTTATTTCTTCTCCTCTGGCAGCCTTGTAATTTATAGCCTTCTGGTCCAGCAGTAGCTTGTTGATTGTTGTTTCAGCTACTAGGGTTTAACTGGAATATAATGACAGATCCAGTCTCTTTATGCTATTTCATGATAATGGGTCCCCATTGATCTAGTAAGCAACTTTATACTATATGTCTCAACTAGGTTTTATTCCCATGATTTGACGCTGTTGATGTGGGCTATCACATCAAAGCACTGTTGGCCTTTGATGGTAACATTATTTCAGCATTCTGTGAGATAGACAATAGGAAAGGTAAAGCAAATCCAGTAGCTGTTTCTGAACCACTGCTTTAGTTTACTGCTCTTGTATCCTTTCCAGTACATGTTGCAACGGACCCAAGACAATGATGAGAATGTGGCATTGGAAGCATGTGAATTCTGGTTGACCCTGGCTGAACAACCTATTTGCAAGGATGTGCTGTCTTCACACCTGGTGCAGTGAGTAGCTTCTGCAGTAATGCATTGTCCTTTTTCTGAGAACTCGTTATGCATCCAGACATGCAATAGCTTTGTGCAAATGGACATAAAATGTTCCCTTATTGCTGAAACAGTTCTGCTTGGTTGTTTCATCTGGTTGAGGTGTGGGCAGCCTACTGCTAAAATGTTTTTGTTAGCAAGAAAAAGGGATTGGTGCTCTTGCAAATCTTCAGGGTTGGTAATTCACTGATAATTTTTATGAAAAGCTGGTGCATGTCACTGGGATTAAAAAGTGGTTTCTGCGCCTACACAGATTGCCCATCTCTATTCATAGTTTAATATACTCTTGCAGAACACTGGGAAGTTAAAGCCCTTCTACATCCTTTCCCTCAACTACAGCTGGGGAGACATTATTTAAAATCTGTCTTTATCTGGTTGTTACATTTTACTAGGGAAGTACACAAAATGCAGTAAAATTGTAGTATAATAATTATACATTAAAATATCAATTACCATGGTAAAAAACAAAATACATAATATAATCAAACTGACATAAAGTAACTTACAATGTCAGGTCAAACTAATGTTGACCTGGCCCCAATGGGTCTTTAATACTGATGCTAGTCAAACAGCTACAGGCAGGGAAGAGTCTTTCATTCGTCATATAATATTTGAAGAAGAGCCTCTTCTGGTCTTAAAATACAGGCAGCTTGATGTGGAGAGATGCACAAGCTGCTTAGGACCTGAGTGTCACCACTCAGAATTCAGATTAGGCCCAAACGGGCAGCCACTCTAGATCTTTTAAGAGGTTATGCAACAGGACTCAACCCGACTGTAGTTGCTACAGTTTTGGTTGCTGTGTTCTACACTAGGTGAAGCATTCAGGTCTTTAAATGCAGGCTATTCTACAAGGCATTACAGTATTTAGCCAGGAATTTATGAAGCGCATGAAGCACTATGGACAGACTTCTCCTGTCCAGAATAGTGGTAACTGGTGAACCACCCAACCATGGGAAAAGGAAGTCCTGGGAGATCTCCTCTCCCCATTCCACGCCATATTCTGAAACTGAACCTGCTGGGAAGCAGAACAATTGGATCAGTGTTCCATCTTTTACATCCTGCAAAGTTGGTCCAACAGAAATACCTTTCCAGGGTACCAGAAATCATGGATTGATCAAAGAGGAACAACAGGATTGTTCTCTCCATCACTGTCCTGAAAGAAGCCATCTATCGTGATAACTAAACACAGGTCTGAACCTGAATGAGAGGGTCTGAGCAGTTCCCTGTTTTCAAAAGTGATAGCATGCTTTGCAAGACTTTGGCCAAAAGGAGATATATATTAATTGGGCAGTAGTTATTAAAATCAGTTAGGCTTAAAGATGGCTTGCAAGCCAGTATCACAATCTTCCCTTGTTTCTAGCTCATTATTAACAGGCAGGATAGGCACAGTGATCTTCTGCATGCCTCAGACCACTTTGGCGATATCCTTGGGCTGCATCATCTCAAATTTGGCCTTCACAACTGGACTGTATGGTGCTCTGGGCATTCTGGATTGCCAGAAATATATAGTGTGGCCAGGGTGCTCTCTTCAGAATTAGGAGAAAGAAGGTAATTTTAAAATGGTCAGTGGAGTGTGTAGAAACTTCTGTCATAGTTGCTGTACAGCGTGTTAAATGCATTTGGATATCTGCATTTTAATTTAAATTAGCAAGAGAACCTTTGATTTTTTGTGCTGGCTGTCTTCCAGGGTAGACTTGCAGATTATAACTGGCTGTTGAACTTGCCTACTTACCTGGACATAAAGGCCCAAATACCTAAGAAGTGTGTTGGATCCAAATTTAAGCACAAGCAACTGATTTAATGGAAATAAAACTCTCAACCACAGTTATTGACATGAACTTTTTCTTGACAGGTTGATTCCAATTTTAGTGAATGGAATGAAATATTCTGAAATTGACATCATATTATTAAAGGTATTTATCTATCTGTTCAAACAACTTTGGAAACCTAACTTGTGTGGATTTGAGACGTTACTTTCCTAAGTATATGGTAGTATATTTCTTTCTTCTAGCCTGTTTACTCAGTATAACAAATTAAAGCACGTCTATGTTTTAATGTGTTGTGAATAGCTCAGGTAAGTTGGATCTTGTTTCTCTCTGCTGCTCTTACTATGATCATCCTTGCTAGAATAGTAGAAAGTAGGATGGTTGATAAGTCTGCAAAGCTGAAACAGCACCTTCTGTTACCCCCAGTCAGGAAAAATTTGCCACTGCTTCTGATAATTTGAAGAACTTTGCATTTTAAGCCTTTCAGTCTCCTAACAGTAATAGTAGAAATTATTGTCCAAGTTCCTTTAAAATTTAGCATTCCTACGCCATTGGTATCCTGTGATTACTAACTTTACTATGTTGAGACTGTGGAGGTTGAAGCTGCCATCCAGAGTATGTAGTGCTGAAGTTACAACCAGAGCTCTTCTGCTGTACAGTGGTGCCCCGCTTGACGACGACCCCGCTTGACGACAAAATCGCTTGACGATGTTTTTTGCGATCGCTATTGCGATTGCAAAATGAAGGTTCCAGTTGGGTTTTTTTTGCATTACGTTGATTAGGAGTCTGCTTCGCGAACTGTTTGTTTGCTAAACAATGATTTTTCCAGTTACACAAAATGGCTTCCCTCCCTTCGCAAAATGGTAGCTTTCCGGACCCCTGCTCCGGAAGACAGCGATTTTAAACAGCTGATCGATGGTTTTCTATGGGCGATCTTCGCTGGACAATGAGGTCTTTCTCCATTAGAACGCATTAACCAGTTTTCAGTGCATTCCAATGGTTTTTTTCTTTTCGCTTGATGACGATTTCGCTTAACAGCGGTTTTCCTGGAACGGATTATTGTCGTCAAGCGGGGCACCACTGTATGTTCCATGATAAACTGCAGCTATCTGCTAGCTGCATTTCTCCTTATCAAGTAGATGAAAACCATTCATTGGCTTGTGGTTATGTTAGTCGAGATCAGACACCTGTTTCTTTCCCCCCTCCTCTGTTTTTCTTAGCAGCATGGAAATGCCAATGATGCATTTTATGTTCTCTATAACCCCATTTAACATAGGATTTATGATTCTTGAAATGTAGTACGGCTCTTTTGCTGTTAAAAAGAAAGGTGTGAGTGTCTGTATGAAGTCACAGACTAAGCAAATACAGCCATGGAAGTGATGCATAACCTTCAACCTGACATCAATGATGGTTTGTTTTTATTCCTACTGTCTGATCCATGGGAGCCAGGCCTGCAGAGACATTGTGGCTTCTTTCTTTCTCTCAGGGCTTTTCTATAGGCACAAAATGGTTTTGATGATGTGAATCTCACTTCACCAAGAATAAATGGTCCTATGTGTTTCTAGAACAAATCTACCCTACTCGCATTAATCATGCATATTAGGGGGAAGCATTCAGCCCTTGTGTTGGAGGGGCCCTAGAAGTGCAGTGCTGTCTTGCAGAATGATGTCACATGGCCAGTAGGGAAGATTCCTGAGCCCACTGAATGCCTTGTGCTCTTCCCTTCCCCTCCCCACTGAAATCCAGGGGGACGTGGAAGAGGATGAAGCCATCCCTGACAGCGAGCAGGATATCAAACCGCGTTTCCACAAATCGCGCACAGTTACTCTGCAACATGAAGAGGAGCGGTTACAGGATGATGAAGATGGAGAAGATGAGGATGATGACGATGACACGCTATCTGATTGGAATCTGAGTGCGTAGGAGAATTGTACCATGTTTTACTCTTTCAGATAGCCTTTCCCAAACTTGAGGCCTCAGGGGTTCTTGGAACATGGCTCCCCAGAAGCCATAGCTAGCAAGACGGCTGGGAATTGTAATCAAGAATGTCTGGCCTCTAGGTTTGGGAACCTTGATTCATATGATTCATAGGAGCCAAGGGTGAAAGCACTGGGAGCCAATTGTATGGGCACTGTCTGTGTAGGGTCTTGATAGCATCCCTGGCAATAGGTAGTAGATGGAGGCTATCCCATAGTTCACCCATTTCAGTAGTTTCTTACCAATGTAGGTACCAGTCACACATATTTGAAATAGTTTCTTGCTTTCACAGAATCAGACTTGGACTGCATAAGAGTCCAGACTGGACTCTTATTATGCTTTCACAGAATCAGACTTGGACTGCATGTTCTTATTCAAGTGTCCCATTATGTTTCTACTTGTTAGTGGCTAGTGGAAGTAGTAGGATTGGTATAATGAAGTGTGGGGCATTGCTTTAAATAATAAATTGACTAATGAGCTGAAGATGAAAAGAGGGGAAATGTTTCAATATTTTTATGCTATTGGGTAGATTTATTGAATTTGTATTCGTGAAAGGAAAGGGGAGGGCCTCTAAAAAACAGTCAATACAATTTTAGAAAAGAGGTTCATATTAAAAGTATTGCTCCAAAGGGTCCCGTGAGTAAGGGGGTGCACTGTGGTTTAGATTTGTAATAGTAAGTATTTTGTATTCTTATATTTTTGTTTTGGAAATTTCAAAATAAAATTTAAAAAAGGAGGAAGTAGTAGGATTGTAGAGCCCAGGTTTCTCATATCAGTAAAGCAATTGCCTTGTATTTTGATCCTAATGCAGGCACCTCCCCCCCTCGTTTGTTGCTTTTGCCAGGACTCCTTGAATCCAGAGCTTGTTTCCTTTTATTTCTATTACACGGTTATATCTCTCTTATAGGAAAATGCTCTGCTGCAGCCCTTGATGTCTTAGCCAATGTCTTTAGAGATGAGCTGCTTCCACATCTACTGCCGTTGCTAAAGGGGCTGCTCTTCCACCCTGAGTGGGTCATAAAGGAGTCCGGAATCCTTGTCTTGGGGGCCATTGCTGAAGGTGAATGCTGCAATTATTGACTTAACCAGGAGTGTCCTCTGCGATGAGGTAGAGGTACTGGCAGTCCCTTAATGGTAACAAAGAAATGACAGGTTTAACTGGTTTTTCTGATGGTCATTTGCATTTATTTTATTTACTCCCTGTCTTTATCCCAATAAAGAGACTTAAGATGGCTTATGTCATATTTCAAAGACCAGAACATTTGAAAATATAATAGTATATAATAAGCATTATAATAATATAATAAGCAATTAAACTTATTTATGTATTAAAACAGCTAAATAAATAATTTAAAGCCATTTAAAATATATTACAAAAGGGGAAAAGTACTATATATTAAACCTGCCACCTTGGCAGCTAGCTATTCACTTACTAGAAAGATCTGTGTCTGCTGTCAGAAGTACAGCAAGGAGGGAGCAAGCCTGCCCAGCGAATTCCATAGCTTGGGAGCAGCGACTGAAAAAAGGCCTCACCTTATGTGCTTGTGGGTTGGGTGGGACTGAAAGAGAGGATTCTCTTGAAGATCTTAAAACCTGGTGAGTGGGGCTCATATGGGGAGATGCAGTGCTGTGTGTTAGGAACACACGATGGAAATAACCTTAATTTTGCATTTCTAGGATGCATGCAAGGTATGGTTCCCTACCTGCCTGAGCTGATCCCCCATTTGATCCAGTGCCTTTCTGACAAGAAGGCCCTGGTGCGTTCCATTGCCTGCTGGACCCTGAGCCGCTATGCCCACTGGGTTGTGAGCCAACCCCCAGACATGTATCTCAAGCCCCTGATGACGGAACTACTCAAGCGGATTCTTGACAGCAACAAGAGAGTGCAGGAGGCTGCTTGCAGGTGACCTGCTCATCTCATGATTTCATCTCTTGGGCTTCTGAACAAATGTGTAGATCTTAGTACTAGAGAGAGAGAGGGGCGGGGTAGGGACAGGGGGTTCTGGCTTGCTGCCTTGAATAGATTTTCATTCTGATGGCTCCTTACTACTTAAAGCTGTATCTGTTTTAATATGAAAATGTTTTCCCCAGAGCTGTTGCAGGGTCCTGCCTTATCATGGTTAGGCACTGGAGCTGGTAAGCACCAAGATTAGCTGGAGTAGATGTAATAAGAGAAATTAAGAACACCCATTTAAAAAGCATGAGCATGCCTTTAAGTAGGATTTCCAGTCTGGAGCTAAAGTAGATTGTATAAGGCATCTGAACTATAAGTCTGCCCTTGTTAGACTCCTCTCTTCTGCATTTTAAGACTTTCTTTGGATGTGATGAAGAACTTGATGTTTGAGCTCTGCAGTGATGGTTCATGTATTCTTACTGTCTGATCCAGAGAATGTCCTCATACTTCAGAAAAAAATGTCACTTCAGTCTGTAATTGACTCTTATGCAATGAAACTGATTTGTTAAGCTTCTAGTAGTATAGAACTTAGCCAGATATATGTTCTCATTCTTGTGTTTCTGTAACTTTGATTATAGTGCATTTGCCACCCTTGAAGAAGAGGCTTGCACAGAACTCGTTCCATATCTCAGTTTCATTCTGGATACTTTGGTATTTGCATTTGGGAAATACCAACACAAGAACCTGCTGATCCTGTATGATGCCATTGGCACTCTAGCTGATTCTGTTGGGCACCACCTAAACCAGCCGGTACATGTGTTCTTCTGACTGCTGTGGGCTGTGGAGACTACCAGCATTGACTTACTATAATTGTTTGAATGAGATATTTTAGGACAATGTTAAATCTAGTCCTTGAATGTACTGAAATGCAAAATGTCAATTTGTTTTCCTTTCACTAGGGTGGTAAAACATATTTTGCATGCAGCAAAACTCACAGTTAATCTTCAGCATCTTCAGTTAAAGATATTGAGCAATAGGTCTAGGAAAAGTAAAATACAGTGTATTTGGTGAGCTGGGCTAATGATCTGACATTGTAAGGGCTATAAGATGTGACATGATGCACAATGAGAGCACTGCAACTTATTCTTGCTGAAACTGTTCCTGCACAGCTGTTCAGCTTCTAATTTTTATAATCAAAACTTTAAAAGTGAGACATTATAATTTCTTATTAATGGGCATCAGTTATTCTATGGTATTCTCATATTATGAAAGAACTTGCCTTAGCGTCCTGCAGCTGAAGGTAGCTATAGGTTGCTGGGAGCTGTTATTAAACCTACTTGGCTTCTAAGAGATAGTGCAGTAAAATACATGTGCATTTTTTTAAAGAAGTAAAACAGCAGCATACTTATGCCTTGCCATTTGTGTAAAGTGTTTTTATGCTGTTGTCTAGGGCAGGAGTCTCCAACTCCTGGTCTGTGGCCTGGTGCTGGTCCGCAGCCTTGGCCAGACCAGGCCATGGACACAGATCTTCTGCCCCTCACACACACTCCCTCTGCACGCCCACCCGCACAGCCCCTTCACGCATGCTTGCATGTGTGTGTGCATGCACGGCCCCTGTCTGTGCATGTGCAAGAGTGACCCCTGCCTCTTTGCGCAAGTCCATGAGTGTGCACGTGCGTAATGCCCCTTCGTGTATATGCGCGAGTGCAGGGGTTGCCCTGCCCCCCTTCACATGGACCCCATCCCCCCAACCAGTCCGCTGTGTCAAAAAGGTTGGGGACCACTCCTGAGATGACTTTCGATGTGTACATCCACAATATGAAATTAGTTGAAGTTTCAAATTATGTAAGGTATAAATGTAGCTGATTTTTTAAAAAAAAAATCAAAGTAATACTAATAAATAGCATTCAGCTGAGATCAAAAGTTAAGCTACAGGAAACACAGTATGTGTAACAGCTCAGGAAGATTTGCATTAAGAGAAGGCAGTTGTAAACAAAGGTGAAGTACAGGCGGACTAGTACAAATGGACGCATAGTAGTCTTATCCATAAAAATAAATTTATCTATTCTTTTTCATTGTCTGGACATTATTTCTGTACTTGATTCCAGGTCTACATTCCCTCTTATTTCTGTTCCCGCTGTGTGTGGGGGCCTTGCCCCATGGACGCACAGAGCAGTGGGACTTCATCCGAAATGGAAAATAAACAAATCAGCTGCTGGCTGCTCATGAGCAGCTCTCTGTGTATGTGCATCTTAGAGGGAACATTGTTCCAGGTCCAAAGACACTTTTTAAAGAAACCCAATCTGTTCTTCTCCAGACACAGTAGTTTTAGCTGTGAAATGATGCCCGACTAGACATATCGTCCAGTTTTGTGAACATTAACCATGTCCATAGAATTCTAGGAGAAATCCTGACTTGATTTCCTCTGAGCTGAGAAACAGTGATGATCAGTTGAATACAAGACATTCGAATCCTGAAGTAATATGTTGAGTATTCAGTTCTGATGGTTTCTGGGCTGAGTTTGTGGCATTGGCAGCAGCTGGTAGTGAAATGTGTTTGTAACTGGTTCCCTCTTCCCCAGGAATATATCCAAAAACTGATGCCGCCACTGATCCAGAAGTGGAATGAGCTGAAAGATGAGGACAAGGATCTCTTTCCTCTTTTAGAAGTGAGTGCTCAACCATTATTAATTTGGATGGACTCTATAAAGAACAAACCTTTATGGAATGTGAGAACTATGTTTTTTTGAACGTGTATTTTGTATGCTGTTAAGAAGTGGATTAAATGTATGTGAATGAGCTGAATCATTACAAGTATGCAGCAAAAAACAAACTTGTTCATGATTGTAGCTCCTGTTCTTGAGGTGGCACCTTGGCTCCTGTTACACCATTATAGCCACTTGAAAGAAGACAAGACCTTGTTTATGCTCCTTTCAGGCCTGTGCTCAGTGGTCTTTGTTAAACAGCTTCCCTGACCCCTTGAAAGATAAGAAAATACACATGCCAGGTTATTAACCTTCTAGATGTGTTTTTGAGCAGTTATCTTTTTTTTTTCCTATAGTGTTTGTCCTCTGTAGCAACTGCTCTCCAAAGTGGCTTCCTTCCATACTGTGAACCTGTCTACCAGCGCTGCGTGACACTTGTGCAGAAGACTCTTGCCCAAGCCATGGTATGATAGGATAGGCTGGTGTCCTGGAGAAGTTTACTTGAATATATGTCTAAATGTCAAGAAACCTGTGTTACACTGGGAATTACGTGAGGCAAATGAACTGCACTGGGAATTACTTCAAATGGTCTTAACTATATGAAATCCTTTATGCTCTAGACCGTTAGTTTTCAACCTTCAATAGGTTATCTAGATGGTTTGGACGTCAGCTGTTCAAATCTTTACCATTGACTTTTTTTTTGGGTTGGGGCATCTGGGAGCAGAAGCCTGGAACATCAGGAAGTTTAGAATTGCGCTAAGTGGTTAAATTGTAACCTCTCGTTCTATTGCTTTAACAATGTCCCTATTCTATTTCAGCCTGTTGTTTAGTGAAATGCATTATGATTTTGATGAATTTCCACATTTTCTTAGGGATGAACGCTGAAAGTTCTGTATATTTCAACTTGCAGATGTACAGTCAACATCCAGACCAATATGAGGCTCCTGACAAAGACTTCATGATAGTTGCTCTTGACCTGCTGAGTGGTCTTGCTGAAGGTCTAGGATGCCATGTGGAACAGCTTGTAGCTCGGAGCAATATCATGACTCTGCTGTTCCAGTGCATGCAGGTGGGTGAGACTGTCTCATGATGAGCTTGCATCTGAACATACATTCTGAGATATGATAAATTAGTCTGAATTTTGCCATGTAAATCAGGAACCTGTGAAGACATTTGACTGCTGTCAGTAAATCCTTTGTACATGGTTGCATGTGACTGTCCTGTCAATAAGCAAGAGCAAGGAAAGCAAGGAGCTACCGTATTTATTTGTTCAAACATATTACATTGTTTTATCTGTCAGGGCTCTCGATACAATCTATGGTAAAATTGTAGCAGTACAAAAATAAGGCACAAACAAGCTAAAAATCAAAACAGTACTATTTTATTGCCATAATTGAACCTCTTTTGATGGTAGTACACACAGCACGGTCTGCAAAAGGTAAATTATGGACAAGCTCATATAGGAAGCAAATCTACCTGAATATAGAACTGGCAGGCAGAAATAGTATCTGATCAGGATATGGTTCTTTAACATACATTTTATTTTTGGATTTGATTTCCTTCCCATTAGTGCAAGCACTACTCATTGTGGTTTTCGGGTTAAAACTTAAACCCCTCAAGACCCCACATATCAGTCAAAAATATGGCGATACACAACAATAATTACCGTATTTTTCGCACCATAAGACGCACTTTCCCCCCACAAAACAGGGGAGTGGAAAGTCTGTGCGTCTTATGGAGCGAAGAAAACAGATTATATTTTCCTGTTTTCTTCTCCTAAAAAATTGGTGCGTCTTATGGAACGGTGTGTCTTATGGAGCGAAAAATACGGTAAATCATAAATATAAATAACCGTATAATTGAAATTTTTGCATCTTTACTTCATTTCTGAATATGCAAACAGCAAAATAAGAACCCATCAGATGTTTAATTCATTGAACTGGTACTAGTGTTTTTTTGTGTGGGGAAGGTATAGCAGTCGTAGAGTTCTGCTAGGAGCCCATTGCTTTCCAGGGAACTAGCATTACCAGGTCATATTCACAGGATTTGGGGAAGGGTTTTATCCCATTATAGATTGCATAATTATGAGCTGCCAAAAGCTCCTTCCTAGCAACGTTAATTGAAATTTTCTCCTTGTCTTCTGTGAGGAATCCATTGGTTGCCAGAAGAAGAATTTGGTAGGAGGTAAAAAGTATAAACAATGGTTTTATCCGGCATAATAGATCTTTAACTCTCTTTTTCTACAAATTTGGAGAATGAAAACCAAACATGATGGATACACTGGAATCAGTATCTTTCTTACTTTTCTTTTAGGACACCATGCCAGAAGTTAGGCAGAGCTCTTTTGCACTCCTGGGAGACCTTACCAAAGCCTGTTTCATGCATGTCAAGCCATGTATTGGTAGGTCCCTGTTGAATTATCCATCTTCAACCTTCAGTTTTGTTTGGGAGCTTTTTTTTACATAATAGTGTTTTTTGTATTCATACTTTTTCCATTCCTCAACTAATAAAGATGCTGAATGTGCTGCTAGTACTGTGGGAGCTCATAGGAAGACACTTAAGTCAGAGGCTCTCTGATCCAGCAGAGGAGAAGAAAAGAAGAATCAGATTTCAGTGTTTTGATCCCAAGCACCTGTCTAAAATCTCTTTCCTTGTTCCACTGTCCATCAAATGAGAAAAGCAGTTGGACAGCTAGTGACAATCAAAGTACAATCTGTAGGAAATAGATATATTGGTTGTTTCACTCTTGCTGAAATAATGTTATCCTCATTCTTGGCTCTGTCAGAGTCTAAACTGTGGTCCTTTTTGTAATCCAAGACAGATGGAGGGCTTATGCCAGGGGTGTCCAACCTTTAACCTTCCCTGGCCTCTAGCTGTCTTCCACAGCCCCGCTCCAAGTGCGCTTACCAGCAGCTGTGATCTCAGACAGCAGAGCCTGCCAGCTTTGACTCCGGCGGCTTTATGGGGCTGGGAGGGGGTCCACCTATTGATGGGGACGGTGCAATGCAGTCACACAACCCCACTTTCCCCTCCCCTCCTGCTCCTTCCTTCCCTCTCTCCCCCCCTACCGTTGTGACATGCCCTGGCCACATTCCGGCCACAAGCACCGGAAGTGTAACTTGAAACTTTGGAATTTCTTAAAAAATAAAAAATTGCACTGGGCCACATTACGAGCCAACCTGGGCCGCATGCAGCCCGCAGGCCGCAGTTTGGACAAGCCTGGCTTACGCTGTTCCTTTTCCTGCCTGTACGAACTCGTTTTAGGACTTCAGAAATTATGTGGTTTTATTCTGTTCTTTAGTGTGTCTTTGTGTAGTACTGCTCAGTGCTGACAAAATATATTTCCTCTTCAGCTGAATTCATGCCCATCCTGGGGACCAACTTGAATCCAGAATTCATTTCAGTATGCAATAATGCCACTTGGGCTATTGGAGAAATCTGTATGCAGATGGGTAAGTTTACAAAGAATCTACAATTCTGTCAAAGCTGGCCTTGTGCAACTATCCCATTCCATAGTGATATTGTCTTCTGGCTCTCTACACATGAATCTATTAGCATATTAAACCTGGTAGGCCTTTGGTTGCTTAGAAGGACTATTTATCTGACTATGTGATGGTTGCATTTCAACTGATTTTCTTGAGTTTTTAGTAAAGTTTAGCTAAATTGTTTCTAGAAATGCTTTGTCATAAAACTCACTTTTTTTGTTCTGGGATGGTAGTGAAATGCTCCAATGATAGCTACAAAATACTTTAGCAGTACTTTACCTGCAATAGTAACCTGTTTGGACGTGGGACACTTTTTCTCTCCTTGTGTATACTTTTGTGGTTTAGAACCTCATTTTTTTCTCTGGAGGCTGACAAGCGTTTTTCATGACTTACGCTAGGTTGTGAGTAGGAAGTGAAGGCTCAGTTTTGTTCTCTTTTGGTTGAAAGGGCTTGGGGGAAAACATGTACCGTATTTTTACGATTATAAGACAACCCAATGTATAATAGCCCCCCTTTTCTAACCCCGAATTAGAAAATTTGATCCCTGTTTTTCCCTTCCTTTTGCTAAGCCATGAAGCTTAGCAAAAGGAAGGGAAAAGCAGGGATCAAAGGGCTCTGACTGCCGCTTTTCCCTTCCTTTTTGCTAAGTCCTATGGCTTCACAAAATACAGGGGAAAATGGCTGTCAAAGTGACTGCCACTTTTCTCTGCCTTTTGGGAAGCCAAGGAGCTCAGCAAAAGGAAGGGAAAAGGGGCGGTCAAAGGGCTCCGGCAGCAGAGGCAGCAGCAGGAGGCAGAGACAGTGGCAGAGAAGCAGCCCAGTTTGGCTGCCTCTCGCCAGCAGAGGCAGCAGCAGGAGGAGGCAGAGATAGTGGCAGAGAAGCAGCCCAGCTCGGCTGCCTCTCGCTGCCGCTCGATCACAAGGAGACGATCGCTGGAGGGGGTGATCCAGCAGTGGTGGTGGCAGTCAATGGGCAGCAGCGAGAGGCAGCCAAGACGGTCTGCTTCTTTGCCTCATTTTCCACCTCCTCCTCTTCCTCCTGCCTTCCATGTATGTCAATGGGCAGCAGCGAGAGGCAGCTGAGACGGGCTGCTTCTTTGTCTCATTTTCCGCCTCCTCCTCCTGCCTTCCATGTATAAAATGGCCCTCAATTTTTCCTCTAATTATTTTATGTAAAAGTGTTGTTTTATACATGGAAAAATACAGTAATTATAAACAGGACAAGGTTGGGACCCAGATTCTTGGGGTATATATGGCTCATCTGATTATTTCTTGCTTACTAGGGGCTGAAATGCAACCATATGTTCAGATGGTCCTGAATAACCTTGTGGAAATCATCAACCGACCAAACACTCCCAAAACACTTCTGGAAAATACAGGTGAGGTGGTATTTTAATTGGTGTGTAAATTACATTATCTTTCATTGCTCTTGTTCTTTTCCTAGTTAACTACTGATCTTTAGATAAAGGATAAGGGCACCCTTTCATGCATTTGTTTTAGAACAGGAGCTGTCTTTATTCATGCTGGAGCACATGACCCATTCCAGATACGTATTTAAATCTTTGGTCTGTAGCTGTCTTCCTCCACTAACATGTTCTTGGCTGCTCGGAAGCAGTCTGCTGAGGCCTTGTCCTTGGATTAAGGAGCTAGTTTTCTTTTACAGAAGTCTCTTTCAGTCTTTTTTTGCACACAACAGTTGACAAGTATGGCTCTCCAGTGGTGGTATCTTTATGTGTTCTAATATCACTTGGTGCAGCACTGTGCACTTCAGTACAGCATAGCTTAGATGCTGTGCTCCCGTGTATTCTTACCATTCCAACCTACTGATCTCGTAAACCTACAGAATCGACAGGGGTGTTGCTTTCTGCAGTTGTGACAGGCTTGTTTCTCTCCCTTTCTAGCCATCACGATTGGACGCTTGGGTTACGTCTGCCCTCAGGAGGTGGCACCGATGCTGCAGCAGTTTATCAGACCTTGGTTAGTGTTTATACTGAGACGAGAGGCAATGGCCTTTTGGTCTCTTTCTGCAAGGGATGGCACACTGGGACACAACCCTCTTAGCTTGTCAGGCATTCTGGTGTAATTCTAGAATCAATGGACGGGAACCTTGGGGCAGTTCCATTCAATCTGCTTTCTCCAGTAGCTGAATAGTTTAGTTCTCATTCGTCCTCCTCTCCTCATTTTTCTTGCGTACCAACATCTTGTAACATTTAATCTCCACCATCACAAACACAGAGGGTGGAATACTTGTTTGAAATTCACTTTTTAAAGCGTATGGGAAGGCCCTAAAATACCCCCTTTTCACCTAATTTGCACTGCTTGACTTGATCTTGTGAGTTTGTTGGTAAAACATTTGATCTTCTAACTTCAGCTGATAATTCAAATTAAATCCTAAACACCCATAAAGAAGTGTTATGACTAAAATCTGGCACCCAGAAGCTAAACCAGTGAAAAGACATACATGGGGCAGAAGTTGTGAAAGAAATTACCCCATACCCCCCATGGCTCTTCAGTAAATCTTAGTCTTTGTTATATTGGTTATTATTTGCTTACAAACACATAGTTGTTTTTATATGCTGGTTTAGCATTATTGTATGGGTTCTCAGGAAGCAACTTTGGGACTATTTCTTAATATGCAATATGTTCTGGCTCATAGGTGCACATCCCTGAGAAATATACGAGATAATGAAGAGAAAGACTCTGCTTTCCGTGGCATTTGTATGATGATTGGAGTAAACCCTGGTGGAGTTGTTCAGGTAATTATGCTGTGTGCAGTCATGCTAGTTAGCCCAGAATATAACCTTTACTTTCTCAGAAAGAGGTTGTGCTTGAGCATCACCTGAACAATCTCTGTAATAATCTTGTGGTAATTGATGGGATCCTATGCAGTTACCATTGTTGCAACTCAAAAGGCATGCTGCTTCTAAAGAAGCAAAATAATTATGCTGTGTTAATTTTGATGCATCCACCACTCCTATGTCATATGATGCTTACTTGCCCTATCATAAAAGGAATTGTAAGAGACACTAAATATAATAGTGGGATGTTTTCAGTAAGGAGAAGCCTTTTAAAGGACTCCTGGGTTTGAAGGTTTTCTCCTTGTTTTGAGATGGGAACATAGCTCAGAAGAGGAATGAATGACCTTAGCATGTAGGCAGAATGTACAGTATGAGATCATGGAAACTAATATATGAGTAATAGTGAGCTCTGTGGTGCAGTGATTAAACTGCAGCCGAGCTTCTGGTCAAGACCCGAGTTTGATGCTGGCAGGTTCAGGTAGCTGGCTCAAGGCCTAATCCTTGTTTTGAGATGGGAACATAGCTCAGAAGAGGAATGAATGACCTTAGCATGTAGGCAGAATGTACAGTATGAGATCATGGAAACTAATATATGAGTAATAGTGAGCTCTGTGGTGCAGTGATTAAACTGCAGCCGAGCTTCTGGTCAAGACCCGAGTTTGATGCTGGCAGGTTCAGGTAGCTGGCTCAAGGCCTAATCAGCCTTTCTAAACTGCAGCCGAGCTTCTGGTCAAGACCTGAGTTTGATCCTGGCAGGTTCAGGTAGCTGGCTCAAGGCTAACTCAGCCTTTCATTCTTCCGAGGTCAGTAAAATGAGTATCCAGCTTGCTGGGGGGCATAGTTTCCTTGCATAATTATGATCTAAATTGCCCAAAGAGTACTCCAGTCTCTCCAGAGAGAAGGGGGGGGGGGAAGAGAGGGAGAGAGAGAGAGAATGAGAGAGAGAACGAGTGAGAGAATGAATTAGATGAACTAGATGCTGGGGGTGGGGGCATTATTTGTAAACCAGGGGTATAAGAGAGAGAGAGAATGAGAGAGAGAATGAGGGAGAGAATGAATTACTAGATGCTGGGGGTGGGGCATTATTTGTAAACCTGGGATATCTCTTCTGACTGAGTGTTGAGATATGGAATATACTTGGTGTGTGCTTTCACACCATTCTTGATTTCTGTGTCCACTTCCTGTATTTAGTTTTCTTTTTTCATGTTTATGAAACTGTTTTACTAATTACTTACAGCAATTTTGTTTCACACTTTTGCAAGCTGAAGCATCAGCGTTTTGCCATATTCCTGCATGGACTACTAATCTTATTCTGGTTCAGCCCCATGCAGCAATCATTTGGGGGTATCTATTCATGGGAAAAGAAAGGCACACCAAGTTTTGCATCTTCACATCTTGGAAATACAGTTAGTTTTCAGGTCATGTAGTAGTTTAAAATGGTAGGAAATCCAGCATCTATTTATTTGGGATGTATCTTAAGCATTCTTATTCTACTGTAGGATTTTATATTCTTCTGTGATGCTGTTGCTTCCTGGGTGAGTCCGAAGGATGACCTCAGAGACATGTTTTATAAGGTATGTTGCTCCAGTGGGAATAATTTATTTTACAGGGTACTAAGAGGAGAGGATTTACCCACCTACTACAATGGCAGTGTTTGTTTTGGGTATACTACCAAGGTTCCCTCTAAGCTGGGCATGTGTGTGGGCGCCTCTGCCTCCCTGCGCGCAGCTGTCTTCTTCCTCCATGCAGCAATTGCATTAGGTTCTGGATGCAAGGGAACCCGGGGGGGGGGGGTTGAGAGAGAGGCGGAGCTCCGCTCTGTGAAGCTGAAAGAGGATACATTGTATACAGCTGGATGCAAGGGAACCCGGGGGGGGGGTGAGAGAAAGAGGCGGAGCTCCGCCCTGTGAAGCTGAAAGAGGATACTGTACATTGTATACTGCTGTTGGTTCCTAATGCATATAGATATGTAAGACTATTTATTGTTAACGCTATAAGCCGTAATACAGAATTAATGTATAACCACTTGCATTGGTGCAGATTGGTGCAACAATTATAATATATATTTTAATTCGTGGCTCTCATTTTAAACATTCCAAGCAGTATATTCAGCAACCATAAAAGATAATTTTCAAGCCCCAAATGTCATACAAACATCTTTGATGCGGCAATGACTAGAAGTGTCTTTTGCTATGTCCTTACCTAAAGAGCATTACAGTATGTCTGACCTGCATATGAGTAGGAAACGAATGCCTATAGCCAGGTAATCTTGCCATGTGGTGTTGCACTTCCAGTCTGAGAGCTTAATCACCTTCCTACCAGTGGCTCATCCAGTAACCATCTTGGGTCTGAATTTAATAGCAAGTCTCATGATTATAACAGCTAGTCAGATTTTTTTGGCTTTTTAACTCCATCCATATGCTCTGTGCTTTGTGTCACCTAGTTTAATGGACCATTCCAGAGAACACATGGCATTTTGGTTATTCTTAATAAAGATATTTTCTGCTTGTGAATGTTAATATTTTTCCACCTTTGATTGACACAGCAGTCTTTGTTTAGTAAGGCATAACTACACACTGGCTTTTAGTCTTTTTCTGGACCCATTTCAGAGTATTGGTTTTTATTTTTTTGAATGCAAAATGGCTCAGAGCCAGCTTGCTCAATGGACTAATTGCAGAACTATCCCCTATTTCCACACATTTCTTTGATTTATGATTTCTTCTCAGGTTTTAATAACTATAGACTGGAGTTTTCCATGTGGATGTGGAAACGGCTTTAATAGCAGGATCAACAAGTTGCTTGCTGTTTAGATACAGACCACAGTCAGGGATGTCAGGTCCTCCCCAGGTTTTTAGAGGTTAGATTTCATAGACAAGCCAGGTGAGAGTAAGTGCAAATGTACAGTATGTGGTGCCTTTTTTCTACCCCTTGCCCTTGTGGTAATATGTGATAATGTGTTTATCATCAGATACTTCATGGCTTCAAAGATCAAGTCGGGGAGGAAAACTGGCAGCAGTTCTCTGAGCAGTTTCCTCCACTTCTGAAAGAGAGGCTTGCTGCGTTCTATGGGGTCTAGGCAAAGCATCAAAACTGTACTCGGTGAGTTCCAAGGGTCTGGGATGGGGGGGGGGGAACTAAGGCAGGAATGGGATGTACTGAATAATGTAAGTAACTAAAATGGAAGAGAGAACAGCATATACCCAAGTCCGTAAGTGACTGCCATTGTAGTCATACTTTCAGTGCCTTTGGGTCTGAGCAGGGACTCTCAGGAATGAGCATGTGAAGATTAAACAATAGATTTCCTGAACAGGCAGTATCTTATTCCCCACTATATGGCTCATGGCATGTTGCTGAAAAGAACCTCTTACTCTATGTTAAGATAAGGCAGGGGAAGGGGACACAAGGTGTCTTGTCCATAAGTTGTCTCATCGCGTTGATAGTGAAGATCTGCCCCGTCCAAAAGATGGGCTGGCTCAAAGGGATGCTGGCCCGTGGCTCAAATGTCCTTTGCTGGTTGTTTTTGCTCCTGCCTATGTAATCCTGGCTATCTGTTTCTTTCCTCAGGTTCCTGTGTGTGCTGGGAGGGATCCTGGGAAGTCGTCCACAACCCAGTGTTGCAGATCCCTGTTAGTGGGGGGTTAGGGAGGACGGGAAGAGCTTTGTGGGGCATAAAATGACTTCGCTCCCCATCTCCTGAAATTTACAAAGTTGGGGGGAGGGTGGGCCTCCGTGACCAATTTAAACAAAAACCAGGGGATCTCACTGACAGAAGGAAAGGTCTCTACTTAGAGGCTGTCATTGGTGGAATGGGGTGGGTGGGACTCGGCCCTGGGCTGAGAAAGGGGAGCAATCTTAAACTGCAACACTCTTGAGAAGGGGATCTAACTAGGGGCCATCATAAAGGACTAGCTAATAATAATAAATAAAAGATAGGGTTTAAGATGTTAAAACAGGATTAAATGCTACAATGGTTTAAAACGAGCTGATGAAGAGGGAAGGGTTAAAACTCAATCCAAGGGGGTTATACTACTGTATATTTCCAGTCACCGGTATTCAAGAGATCAGCAATTCACCTTTTCAAGATTGCATGGTGACCAAGAAGTAGACTAGCGAATATGTGAGTAGCCCATAATGACTAAGTGTAAGCATTTTCATCTAGGAATCTTAAGGAAACCCACAAACCCTTTTTGCCATAGTTGCCATGGCACTGTGTACTGGATGTGATGCTAGGGCAAAGGCAGCCTCTGACCTTGAGGGGAATCTGCCAGCCATTTAGGGAGCAGTCCTTATCATAAGAAATACTGTTGGAGAAGCATGTCTCTATTTTTTAAGAAGATGCCACAGTGCAAATGAATCTGTTACCCTGTTTGTTCAGCTGTTACTTTGTGACACTGCTATTACATTACTTCAGCTGTAGGTGGCAGGAGAGAGCAAGGAGGGACACTGAATTCCATCTGGGAATGATCTGTGTGGCCAAAGGTGACCAGAAGCCAGTGTGCATTTGATTCTTGTAGGGCACATAATATGTTGTGTCTTGCACTCTTGTGGCCAGAGCAGCATTTGTACATAATGGTAACTTACATTTTCTGTCTTAAGGGAGTTTCACCACTTTGGTTTACAGAAGGAGCAGTAAACCTAACAAAGTGTAGAGGAATGAATGAATTGAAGCCTTTTGTGCATGGCCAGTGGAAGCTTGTAACTTTTGCAACATCTTAGTGGAGTTTCTGTCTAAATGAATTATCATTAGACCCAGCTCAGTCCCTGGAAACAGAATCAGGGGTTTGCTGAATGCATTTGATTTGATGAAGCCATAACTTTTTAGCAGTAAATGGGACAGATCTGAAGTAGAATCAAGCCTGCTATCCTTGTAGGCAGTTGAATGTGGGGAGGAATGAGGGTATTGCTGTGACTGATGAAAGCAACATTTGTTCAAGTGGGGAATGCTGGGATAAAAAGAGACATCAGAACATGCAACAGAGTCCACTAAAATAGCTTGTGCGAGGAAGTGTTTGCCAGCAGGCAGCATGCTGAGGAAGAGGAGACCAGCAAGCTGAGCCGTATCTCCAGCTTCATCTGAGCAGATCCAAACAAAACTTCAGCAGCAGCATCAGGACTGATAGCCAGACAACTGGGTTGAACTGTGCCACGTATCCTGTATTGCTGTGTTGATGGTAGACGAAGTGTTAGGATGACTTGGGTACAAAGCATCTGTATGCATGAGAAAGGATGGCTAGACCTTTTCTGAGTTAAGGAGATGCTTGTTTTTGACAGCAATTGGTGGTGACACTCAGTACTGTGGGGTGAATTTTTGAAAGTGTATTTGTGAAATTGCTTAGTAACTTAAACTTCACTGAAACCCCTCCCAATTTTTCTTTTTATCCCTGGCCTGTTACACGTTTTCCAGTGTATACAGTTCTTAGAGATTTCTCATAGAACTTGCTGAGGCTGTATTTTACAGGCTTTGGGGCCTGAAAGCCTTTTCAGCTTGGAGACAGATACACTGTCAATTAAGAGTTGCATTTCTGATCCTTTGCTTTGAGTGCTGGGACCATCCCTGCACTGTTCATGAATAGCTATTTCAAAGAAATAATAGACTTTCACATGCATTCCGCAATTTTTTTTAATAGTGTGGAACTTGAGCAGGTCTCTGGAAGCAATCAGCTAGTTATTTGCATTTTAATGATTTTATTCCAAGTGTTTCCTCTTGTGCCTCACTCTCAACTGTCCTCGTCCTGAGAGAGGGGAAAGCAGAGGGTTCTATTTGAGCAGCAATTTGTTTTTAAATACACGAGCAAGAAAGGTGCACAGATGGCAGGTGGGGTCCTGGCCTGTGCTGCTAAACTACATGCCCTGGGATATACAAAGAAGGCTGTGAACTCTTCCAGTGAAGTTTAAGCTACTTAGCCTGACTGCCTCTTGAAATGGAATTGTCTTTTTGTACAAGTGCTTCTAGTATTGCCTCCTGTTTGTTAATCCTGGATTTGTATATTTGTAAATGTGCCGTATTGTTTCCAATGGTGGAACTGCAGTGTACCTAGTGTTGAAGCAGCTGCTTGCACCTTGCTCAAATGAGGTTTTTCTCATTTTATGTATAATTTTTTTTCCAACTAAAAAATTCTTGTGACTCCAGTTTCCATGCTTCTGGCCAGTTTCTTTTGGCTTGGCTGAATGAATTGTATCTCATTTTCCAACATTCTGAGTGACCAAAGGAAGAGCCGTCAGTTACTGTGGATTTCCAAACATTAAATATTCATTTGTCCTGCTACATACTTTTGCTTCCACAGTATGCTAAGCTTCTCTTTCAAGTCCTTTTGATTTATTGTGTCTGCCTGGGATTTCATCACAGTTTTCAGATGGTCACACTTTCTGCATGTTCACTGGTAAAATTATTATGTATATTTTCTGGTTCAGGCATCCACATATTGTATGGAGTGATGTAACCCTATTTCGGGAGCCTAAGAAGTGGCACTGTTGCTTTGTGCATTTGTCTTGTTTTTCCCAGAGCCCTTAACAATTTCTCTTGCCTGTAAAAGCTTCAGTAATGCAGAGGCTCCTTGGTCACTTCATTGAGTGCAGAAGGTAATGAGAGAATTAGTACAGATCTTGAAACATTACAGAAAAGGTGGCAGTAACTTCTGTCAAAAATCCATATCCCCTCCCCATCTAAGATTCTTAAAGGGGTGATTGTGGCAAGTTTGCAGTCATCTTCACACCCCAAATAAAGCATTACTGGAATGCCCAGTAGTCTGTATCAAGGTTTGCAGGGGCTTTGTTCTAGGCAGTGGTAGGAATTTCACTCAGCAGACTGTCACAAACAGACATGTGTAGTTATCCAAGCACACAAATAGTTACATTTTTCCAAGAGTACTAACAATTCTCAGGGCCACCAATATTATTCCCAACTATTGCCGGATACATCAGTGACCGGTCCTTGAGAACTGAGGGCTTCTAAAGTTAGGTGACAATCGTAAATGTTAGAAGAAGGGTGGACATGTCAGAGTGAATTGTTTGCAGGTGTATCTCATTACGCTCTAATCCAAATATTTAACTGTTGCATTCTCTGCTGTCAAAATTAGATTACCAGAACACAAATTCAAACTCTCCTATTTGTATTGAAATGTATACTGGTGAAAGATAGCTATGTTCTGAAATAATATATATTAACTAAGACTGCCATATTTTAAGTGTTAAAAACTAGTATGTTCCAAATTCGAGATCTGGCTCCTTCATTATCATTGTGTGAGAGCCACTGAATTAAGGGGCAGGTGATTTGGTGCCCCCTGCTCGTGCGGACTACCATTTCCAAAAGTCAAAGTCAGTGTTAATTCTGGCAGTATGTGGGAGTCGTCCAAAACATCTGGGTCATACTAAGTTACTTATTACCTGCACTAGCATCTAGGTTGGCCAAGAAGAGAGTGTTTCATTGCAGGACGTGACCACCCTCTGTCAGCTGTAAGGGAAGGCCCAAGCAAGCGCCCCTTTTATCTGAACGTGGGGTCAGGAACTCTCGCTTGCGCCTCTTGCCAGGAAAAGCCGGCTCGCCGCCGGCGAAAACGACGACGCTCGGCTTGGAGAGCCGTGCCGGCCGGGGGTCCTCGCAGCGGCCACGAGCAAGAGGCCGCCCGAGCCCCTCAGGGAAACCGCAGGGCTTTCCCGCCTCCTGGGCAGGCTCGGTCGAAGGGCGGGCTGTGTCGTCATTGCAGCGCGCCGGAAGTAGTTTCTCCTTGGAGACGGGAGCGCTACAGGCGCGTTCGCCGAAGTCGCTGTTCGCCTTCGGAGGAAAGGCTGGCAACTGATTCGCTAACCCGGGTGAGCAGGGCGGCGGCTCTTCGTGACACGAAGTCCGACCGGAAACCGGGCAGCTGCGAAGGGGGCTGTTGACGATTGATCCCGGCGGCCCATCCCTCTCCTCTCCTGGAAAACCTCTTCACCACCTTCCGCGATCGATGATCTGACCCGCTTTCTTGTGGCGGTGGAAGCAGCTGGAGGAAGGGGGGGGGGAAGGCAAGCACTCTTTAGGATTCGGGATCAGGATCGGCCTTTGCTTGCTGGGCAGTCCTTGGCAGCCGGCGAGGAAGGGGCACCTGTTGTTGCACAGCTAACCTCATCGCCCCCGCTTTTTTTTTTTTTTTTTGGCCCCGTGTGTAGGCAAAGCGTGGCGGAGGCCATTGCCTGTTGTGCTTTCGGGCGCTACAGTTGCGGACCCGAGCTCACCTGATCTCGGAAGCCAAGTGGGAACAGGCCTGGTTTGTACAGGGCCAGAGGACCACCACCGGGGAATATCAACGCTCTCAAGGTAGGGTGGGGTGGGGGGAATCCTGTGTCACATGCTGGAGATTCAGTGCCATACCAAGCTGACGGTCCTGCGCTAGGTGGGCCAAGAGTCTGACTCAGTTGCAAACAGCTTCCTGTATTCCTTATATTCTCACAAACGTTTTGGGGGAAGAAAATGGCCTGTTCGATTGTTCAGTGGGGCAAAAAGAGAAAGGCTTTTTACCCATCTGCCTGTTCCTGTGACATTTGGAGCAGAGCCTTTTGGCATCTGGCCCAACCCATTTTGCAGCCTATCATGTTCTTTTTTATGCCATTTAGAGACCTGTACTGGACTAGTAGTTGTCTCCCTCTTTCAGCACTGGTGGAAGGGTGGGGTGGGGAGTCTTCCACCACACCTGAGAGCAGCTTTCTATGAACAGGCAATGTGGACCACAGATCTCGGTGGAATGCATCAAGGAGCTTGAAAGGAACATGTAGAAGACTACAACTGCTCCCCTTCCCCCCCCATTGCCTCCCCAGTCAGTTTTCTTCATTACCTAACTGTCTTGCGCAACCCCTGTGGGTTGCACCTGCCAGTGTTTCAAGGGTAGGGAAAAGGGATAGAGTGCAGTTAGATCCTTTCCCTTGAATTGTTACTTGTGAAATAAATCTCTTGTACATATCTCTAGACAGAATGTTTTTTTTTCATGCTTCATCTTTGTAAGTCTTTCCCAATGAAAGAAATCTGTTCCTGCGAATGTTTTAATGTAGTGCCTTTCACCTGAGGTTACCTCACTTAAAAGTACCAGAGCCCACGAAAAAAATTACATTATAGACAAAATAGAGTTGTACACTTAAGTTAAAAAAAAAACCCTAAACAGAGAGCAAAACAATGCATTATTCTAGTTTTATATCTCCATACTTAAACTCTGCTTCTGTTCCCAGATAGCAATGGATCTTGAGCCAGATCCTTCTCCTGAACACCAGGACTCTGACAATGACTCTGACACAGAGAGCAAAGGAGATCCAGATACCCAGGCCCAAGAATATATTGACCGTGTTCTTGGGCTTTCAAGCAGTCAGACATCCTGCTGCGTGCCTCCTGAATCCCTCTCAATCGGAGGTACTGCCTGGGCATCAGAACCCAAGTCTCCTCCTCTGGAGTTCAAAAAGTCTCCTGTTACGGATGAGACAGCTTCAGGGTTGTTGTCTCTTCCTTTGGAATTGATCTTGAAGATCTGTTCCTACTTGCAGGCCAGATTTGTCCTGGGTGTTCTTCCTTTGGTCTGTAAGACACTGAGGGATATTGTGCAGGATGAAGTCACTTGGAGAATTCGCCTCTTGAAGAGGATTGGCAGTTGCTACCCGGTTGTGGAAGGTGAGCTTCCTTTCTGTTTACAATAATTTAGTTTTTTTATTAATCCAACTAGAGTTTCACGTTCCCAGAAGAGATTCTCACATGTTTGGTAAGGGTTTGGCTATCAGAAAGGTAGGAAGTGGCATGTCTTCAAGAGGTTATATATTGGAGTAATTAAATGAGATTCTTCCATGAGAAAGGAAAAAATGGAATATACTGTAGTTAGTTAAAGCTTGTAGGAGCTAGAACCCATGAGAAGTCCTCCAGATTCTGTAAATAGAGCTTGGGTGGAATGTGGGCAGGTATTTCATAGTCTTTCCTCCTCTTTCTAATTCTGTTTCTCTTTTCTGTAACTATTTATTTAATTTTCAGAAAGTTTTGGTTGGGTCAGTAAAGTTGGCACCACACTGATAGTATGGAGCACTGCTCTGCAGTTTCAAGATAATGCCCTTTCAGTCCCCAAAGTAAAAGAGACTAGAACTGATAACGACCCAGTTGTGTGATGCAGCAACAATCATCCTCTGTTCTTGTACCTTAGCTTTTACTGTATATTTTTGTCATAATAGACTTGGGTTAGTCACTTTGAGGAGTAGAAAACCAGTATACAGGCCTTGTAAATGCCATATAAACTGCTCTGCATTGCTTGCCATTGTTCAGCCCAAAGAGAGAGCTGCGTCCCTTTATGTCCTTCTTATGTCTTGGCAGAGGAGAACTTTAACTGGCCAGCTGCCTGCATTGAGTTAGAGGAGCACCTCCAACAATGGGCAGAGAATGGTTGGAACACAGATCACTTTTCCCTCACCGAGGGACACTTTGCCTCAGTTGACTCTGTGCTGCTCCTTCAGGTAAAAGCCATTCTCTTTCTGTGCTTTTTTCATTTGTTCAGTATTTTAATTATACCAAGGAGGTCCTTCTGCATTCAGTTTACCAGTCAGTGATGTTTGGTAATTAGAAGGACTCTCCTGTTGCTTGTGAACTGTGCTAAATTCATCCAGTTAAATGGGGGGGGGGTAATCGTTCCTCATCTTTTTAGTTGTGCACACTGAGCACAATATGGGCTGCTGTATAACCTGGCTATCTTTTTAAACAAATTGCCTTAAAATTACATTAGTCCTCATGACTGTAGCATTTGGTTTGAAGAGTACCCGGACAAAGTCTGATGAAGGTCTTCTGTGCATTACAAGCTCTTATTATCCAGGTTCCAGCCAAACTACTGGTATTGCCTCCAGGCAAGATTATGTGGGATGTTGATGTTATAGAATTTTCCTTTTGTCCGGGTTTGGTTTTTTGGACACCTGCCTTTTCCTCATCACACTTAAAAAGGAAAGGCATTGGGTCGTTCTTCATTTAGGAATTGTCATTTCATCTAGGGTGGAGAGCTCTGCGTTTCGGGTTCTCGCGACCGCAATGTCATCTTGTGGGACCTGAGACAGCTGGGCAGAGCACCAGAGAAAGTGCTGGTGAAGGCACTAGGGACAGAATGCAATGGCACGCACAAGGTAACTGGAGTCTGTAGCCTATGATCCCTAGATCAAATAGTGATTATGTTCTACATCTGGTCTGATCATCCCCTGTAAATATATTCCAGCTGAAAGTGCAATGCTATTATAGCAAGGGCGGGTAACCGGACTGTAGAAAAATATACTTTCGTAATTATTTTGACTTATATACCACCCCATCATGCAACATTCTCTCTGGGCAGTCTTAAAGACACCCATCTCCAATTACTCTCTCTCACATACACACTTAAATAAGCCATAGCTTGCAGAGAATGGCATTTTCTCTCTTTTTAGTTATTCCCTGATTTGGATATTTTCAGTTAATCCAAGGGCATAATTCTCATCCTTTCCTGATCAGCTACAGTATCCAGCTTGCAACATTAATTACCCCAGATCCCACTTTCCATTATCCTCCCCATCTTCCACAAATTGCAGCATGTCGGTTTAAAGGAAACCAAAGTAAAAAGTAGCTGGCAAGCCTATAGAAATTGCCTCCCAAATGGCTAGACTTGGTTTCTTTTAAAGGGAAAGGTTCTTTTGTACTAGCCATAGAGGAACAGATCTCTATGGAAGGGTTGAATACATGTAGTCTGTGCTAACAGGACACAGACCTATTTTGTCTGGAGATGCTGCTGGCTCATTTGCCTTCTAAGCAGAGAACAAATTGCCCGCATGAAAGAGGTGGAAGTCTTCCCCAGTTCAAGTGCCTCTGCCTTCCATCCCCATGGATTATGCAATGCAAAACCAAAACAGTTTATTCTTTCTGGAGGATTGCCCGTATCCTAAAGCATCTGATTCCAATTTCTCAATTCAGCTGGAAGTGGATTGGAAATGTCTTTCCTGGTGGTGGGGGCAGCGGGGGGGGAAATCTTCCCATATTCATAACTGTTGATTTGGCTGTATTCTCAGTGATGGCAGAAAGATAAATTATCTCTTTGCTTTTTCTGAAAAGAGTATACTCAACCACTCTGTCACTTCTGAGACCATTTTTTAAGATATACATGAAATAACTGAGTTGAAATGAGCATGTGTTCTTTATATGCCCCGCAGAATGACACCACAGTATTATTAAAGACTTGGAGAAGGATTGAATTGTGGTGACAGGTCTTGCCTCTTTTCATTACCTAGGGATGGGTATGGTCTCTCGCTGCAAGAGATGACCGGGTGTGTTCTGGTTCCTGGGACAGCACAGTAAAGCTGTGGGATATTGCAGCTGAAGGGCAGCAGTTCGGTGAAATAAGGTAATATTTCCCCAGCGCCCTCTCTTGTGGCTTTCAACCCAATAAAATATGCTCTCAGGTTTTTGGCTTCAGAGTTGTGCAGAAGGATTGGGATCCTAGAGGGGTGAATTGATATTTTATTTATTATAAGTCAAAGACTCAGTTAATAATTTCAGATAAAGTGAGCTGGGGGAAATTGAACAGGAATAGAAGAGAGGGTGTTTTATGGCAATAAAACAGGAAACTGCTTGTTCCTTTTCTAGGTCAATGTTACTCTAGAATTAATTGAGCAAAGGTTGGATTACTCTAATATATCAATTTGACCAGCATATCCAGGTCTCCTTTGCCTGATCATTTCTTTCCCATCCTAGGGGGAAAGCAGCTGTGCTGTGCCTTGCTTACCTGCCAGACATTCTGGTCACAGGAACCTATGACAAGAAGGTGACCGTATATGACCCACGAGGTTAGTGCTGGCTCTTTCCTGTGGGCACTACTGGCTGGAGCCACCCCTCCCTGTTTGGCTTATGTGAACTTGACAAGCAGGTTATCTGTACACCGTTATCTCCTTCATAAGGTGGAGGATGGCCAGAGCAACCAGCCAAAAAATAAAATAAAGATGGACAATTGTTCTGCTCACCCAAGGATCACCTCAGTGACACTGCCCGAGCTCCTTTAGACTAAGGGGAGACACTGGCTTCTAATACTGATGAAAAAGAAGGAACTGCTTAAAGAGTAAAATCAGCTGATTTTCTGTATTTAATAGGTGTCCCCAGATTAGAGTGGAGCAGGGGGTAAAGGGAGGAGCTGCTCCAAGATATTCCAGAGGGAACTCTGTTCTTTTTTGCTTCTATTTGTTGCCCTATAAAAGGAGGTGTGTTTGTTGAATAACTATGGCTTGCAAGGGAGAGAGCATGTATATAAGGGTATTATTTGAAAAAGTTGCCTGTGTTATGAGATCGCTCTTGCTTAGATGGCTGAGTTTTAGTGACACATCACTTGGCCTTCTCTCCCAGCTGCTCATGCCCTAGTGAAAAGCCGCAAGCTTCATTCCAGTGCAGTCCTATCCCTTGCAGCAGATGAGCACTTTATAATCTCTGGGAGTGAGGATCGAACGCTAGTATGCTTTGATAGGCGGACTAACAGTGTCCTCCAGAGGCTACAGGTGAGCTGCAGACCTTTAGTCTCATTTTCCATTGTCTCTTTATTCTTTTCAAATTAGCCTCTAATGGACAAGTTCACACAAGATGTGGCAAAGTGGATTACTTTTGTTTTGCACTTGGGATGCATTCAGATTCTACATGAATTCAGTTTGTGACTAGACCCTGGCTTCACGTTACATCTGAACATGAGCCTGTCCAATATTATAGTTTGTTTGGGACCAAAGGATTTAAAACTATAGATTAAAATGTATTTGCAGGCCACAGTTCATGCTAACTATGGCTTTGTCATGATGTCTGGATTCTTAGAAAGATTGACAAGTGACACAGAGAGCCATTGTTCCACCTCAAGATGCTTCTGTGTTATAAGAGTTCCCGTAAGCTGGGAATCTGAATGCTGAGCACATCACAAAAACAAAAGAAGCAAATTAGGAGCTGGATTTGCACCATTCTTTTCCTGTTGTACAGCTGGTGTAATTAAACCATGGTTTATCCATTTTATCGGAATTTAGCTTCCATTCTTTCTCGTTTCAACAGTCTCCATCCAGGTTGTATTTGCGAATGATTCAGGGCATCTTTTACTTTCTACTGTAGTCACTGTATGGTTTAGTCTATTTGCTTCAGTTCATTTTGTTCAGCCAACCCTTAACTTGTGAGCTTCCTTGGCGTGTCTTGTGTGTTCCTGATGCGGTCAGTGATATTGGTTCCCTTCCTTCCCTAGCTGGACTCCTACCTCCTTGCCATGTCATACAAGGGTGCTCAGCTGTGGGCTGGAGACAACCATGGGCTGCTGTATGTCTTTGAGAACAAAGAAGGGTGCTTTCAGCACATCCGGGTATGCTGAGAGAAGTTGAATCATGGAGAGGTAGAGAAATATGGTACTTCTCTAATCTCCACCTACAAAATAAACTATGTGTTGAAAAGCATAGTATAAAAAGCTGCTGGCTGGTAGGCTGCAGTGGCATTTATAATACTGTTAGACTTCGTCTTTGAAATTTTCCAAATGTTGATAATTTGGAGCATTTTTTTCTTTGTTCTGCTACTGCTGCTTCCAAGCCTAAGCAAGCATATTCCGCTGAATATCATACAGATAGTGTCTGGCTGTAGAAGTCTCAACTGTTGTAGAAGGCAAGCATGCTGTCATTGCTGAATATTCCAAGCCTTTCTCTTTGTTTTGCTCAGTATTTCGATGTGGGCCATCGTTCTCAGATCACTGGAGTCCACCACTCACTGGGCGCCCTATACACTACATCCACTGACAAGATGCTGCGTGTAAGTGTTGTTCTGGCATTTGAGTTACTGTTCGGAATTAAGAATGAATGAGTTTATTTCTGGTCTTTACCAGTTCTGCATGTGTTCATTGATGAGTCCGTTCTGCCCCATTTCTCGAAAAACCCACAACAACCAGTAGATCCCGACCATGAAAGCCTCCGTGAATATATTGAACATAAGTTATGTTTCAATAATTTGTTCACATTTTCTCATGAAATTTAAAGTTCTTCTTCATGGGCTTTGTGACTCTCACATGTGGGTCATTCTGCGCCTGAACAGCTCAGCACAGAATCTTCTTAAGAGCTAATGGTAAGAGTTCTGGGGAGCGCGCCGACCTCGATACCAGTGAGCATGCTATTAGGAACCTCTCCTCCCTATGTGTGTGTTTTTCATTTAGCCAGCTCTTTTTGTTTTGTGGATTTTGGACTGTTTTTAACTACTCTTCACATTCTTCTCATTCCAACTTAATTTCACCGGAATTACAATTTGTCTTATCCTCACCTAAAGTGCCATTGTTCAAATTAATGTTTTATAAGGTCTTCTATAGAAGTATGTACAGTAAGGGAGTGGGAGAATTCCCCAGAACAATGAACACTCTTACATTCCACCTTGGCAATAGCCATGATGCCAAAAAGAGCCGTCATTGTCAAAATGTTAAAAATGGACAGCTTAGACTATGGGTGTTGAAGTGGGAGAAGGCTATCCAAGCTTCAGACTTGGAGTCCAAACTCACAGGCCTCCTGCTCCTGTGGTATGCCTAATGCCTTATCTGCTGGTGGACTAACTTCACACCATGCCTTTGATACCATCAGCATTGATGACTAAGTGAATCCGTCAAGTTTTTTTTCAGTTTGGGAGTACACATGACTTGATCTCACTGTGTGCTATGTACTTTGCTGAATCTTTTTGTATTCTGCAAAGCCACAATTTTCTGCTAGCCTCCCAGCTTCTCGTCATGAATTCCTTTGCTTTCTCTTCTAGATTCATGTTCCCACGGATCCGCCAAAAGTAATCTGTTCACACACACACAGCTGTGTATTAAATGGGGTAAGAGTAAAAGGGATTGAGAAGATGGGTTGGTAACAAAGTGTCTCGGGCAGTTTTACAGAGCTTGGAAATGTTTTGAAAGTTACATAAGTCTATGTTAGGTAGTTCATTACAGAAGAAAAAAATGTTAGTTTCAAGTGCATTGTTTCAAAATGTTAGTTTCAAGTGCATTGTTTCAATTCATATGTCACCAATATTATGTTATGTTTTTTACTCTTTTAAAATCCTTTAAAAGAATAAGAACATGAATTAAAATGTGGAAGGGAAAACCTCTTTAAATGCCATAACATTTATCCAAAAAGGAGAGATTGTCCACAAAAATATCCTGAGAGACAGATTCTATATGAGCAGAATATCAGTGCCCCTGAAGAAGGCTAAAAGTGCAATAGCCGACACGCATTGGGCTTATCTTTGAATAAAGTCTTGATACCCATTTTAACATCCTGGGACTACTGTCTCTCCTTGGGGATGTACCAGTCCTTTTTGTTCTTGCTTCAAAAGTAACGGGCACTTGTGTTGAGCAAATGTAACTAATTATATTTGAGAAGAATGATGTTAGAAATTGTTATTATTTACTGAAGGATGGTAGCCCAAAGAGTCCACATAATTATGTTACTTGTAAAATGTGACAGGGGTCCCAGAGAGAGAAAAGGAGTGTGAGAGCGGAGAAAGAAAGATCCACAGCTGCCTTTCTAGGGCTAGGCATTGAAAAATGTATTCTGGCTTCTGTGCCTTTTTTTTTTTCCTCATTCCTCTGAGCTAACGTGTGCCCCTTTCCCCTCTGCACTGCCCTCTCTTATTTTGCAGGTCAGCGTTGAAGGAAACGTAGCAGTGGCCGCCTCAGGGGGCCTTTCTTTGGAAGTCTGGAGGTTTCGGGTCTGATGGCAAGCCACAGCGTGATCCAGAGTCTCAAAATCGGGTGTCTAGGACAACCTCGCCTCAGGGCCCAAAGTCCCACTACCTGTTGAATTGTTGGTCTTTTGTTTTGTATACTGTTTGGAACTGTGAAGTCAAAGGTTGAAGGTTCAGACTGAGCATGTCCAAGCTAGCTATAACTGACAGGGTTACTCAGAGACTGGGGTATTGATAGCTGTTCATCTTCACACACACCCCTTTGCCAGCTGCCCATTCTCCTTAAGAGAGCGCACTCTACATCCTCAGGTCCCATGGTCATGCTTGCCACACACAGCACAGAGGAAACAGCCCTATTTGGTGGCACAGCAGTTGAGAAATAGCTGGTCCAGGAGAGGAATGGGTATAATAGTACACATATAACTCTAAGGCTGAGGGGTGTCAGCTTGAGGAAGATGAGTTTTTGGTACAGGGGAGGTTGGAGGTTAAAAAGGATCTCTTTGTGACCCTGTTCTGGTAGATGCTTACAATATCATTAAAGGTGTTTTGCCATAACAGCAAAGGGGCAGAGATGGCTTTTTTAAATTGCTTCTCATGGCAAGTAGGAATACAACTTTCTAAGCATATCCCCTTGTGGAGCTTGGCTGAGAAGTAAATGCAACTGAGCTGCAGCAAAGGGTGGACTCGTGCCCTGAAAATTGCATGGGATCCTGAAACATTCCATGTGAATGCAACCAGCAATTTAATGGGCACAGAAAACTTGGAGCTGAACTCAAATCAACCCAGGAGAGTTACACTTTTAAGTTTAATGGCAGATATAGAGCATGTTCCTCAGAAAGACCCAGTGTTAAAGGAGAAGCATGCAAGATTGTATTTTTCCAAAAGATAAGTAGGAGGCAAGTGAAGAATTTCATAAAATGTTGAGATTTCATAGTGATAGTGCTTTGGAAATATATAATTTAATAGTGGTAACATGTTACAGAAAACAGGTCTTGTGTTTATTTCTTGGCGTTACTATCTTAAATGGCTAACAGTTGTTGGAGGAAGAACATAATAAAATATCTGTACAGACAGGCAGAAAAATGGGAGATTAATTTTGTTGATACAGGGTCACTATTCTGGCATATGTACCTAATAACTTTATTTTTTTATGCTGTGTTCTTCAGCCACAGGAAAGAAAATGGACATTAGATGTTGGAAAAAGCAAGGAAAGTTGTACAGTGGACCCTTGACTTACAGACAGCTCCACTCACAGACTTTTCGAGTTACAGACTTCTCTGGCCGCAAAATTTAGGTTCGACTTGCAGCTGGAGAATCGACCTACAAACCGGAAAAAAACCCAAAATGGAACAAAAACGGCCGGTTACAGGATTAATCGGTTTTCAATGCCTTGTAGGTCAATGGAGACTCGACCTGCAGCCACCGTTCCAATACAGATTAATTCCGTAAGTCGAGGGTCCACTGTATAGGGCACTGGAATTACATGAAAGGGCCAGAAGAACATCCTAAGGTGCTCTTTGTGTTTGTGCGAATGTAGCTTAATTCACACATAGGTTAGTGCATGTTTTCCCTCCTTGAAGGTGTTGGCAGAGTCTGGAATCCCAATCAAGAGCGGGGTCATACTTGACATATTTCAAACAATACTGTGTCACTCTTTGCTTTGGAGATGAGACCCGAAAGGCAAGCATTATATAGGCATTCCTGACTGGGGTTAAATCTTTTTCACTGCTTTGAGAAGAATGATTTTGATATTCTCAGTATCTTGAATTTTCTGTTCACGAACCAGAAATCAGAAGAAAGCAATCTCATGCATAGGCTAAGAGTGGAAAGAACTCCGGCATGAATAACACCTGCCCTGATCTAATGCAGTCTGTTTAGGTCAGCCCTTCTTCAGCCACCCACATACACGTGATATGGAAGAAAAGTCTCCCTTATAGGGTTGTTGTTAAAGATTACAAGACCAATATAAGATGTATTGAACACTCAGAGGTGTGATACAATGTCAGTATGGTCCACTGGTCCAGATAGGCGGGGTATAAATCAAATAAATAAATAAATAAATAAATTTCCTTTCATCCAAACTATATTTGACATGGAGCCTTTGAAGGTTATTGCTGAGATTTTAAATAGGAGTACAATAAATGGGAGGAAAGGCCTTTCCTGGATTTTTATTACTACTAATCCATACAAATCATTCCTTATTTGATTTCATATTACAGTGGTGCCTCGCTTGACGACTTTAATTCGTTCCAGCGAAATCACTGTAGAGCGAAAACGTAAAGCAAAATAAAAAAAAACCCATTGAAATGCATTGAAAACCGTTCAGTGTGTTCCAATGGGCTGAAAACTCAACGTCCAGCAAAGATCCGCCATAGGTGCGGCCATTTTCCATGCCTGTGCAGCATGGACTCCGTCCCTAAGCACAGTGGGGAGCCATTTTCTTCAGCCGGCGCCCATTTTGAAACCCGACAATCAGCTGTTTTTGATCGTCGTAAAGCGAAAATTGGTTCCCGAAGCAGGGAACCGATCATCGCAAAGTGGAGAAAACCCATTCAAACCTTCATTTTGCAATTGCAAAAGCGATCTCAAAAAACATTGTCGTGAAGCGGATTCGTCATTAAACAGGGTAATCGTAAAGCAGGGCATGACTGTATAAGCAGAAAACAGCTGGGATGCAGGAGCAAAATCTCTTCAAAACAAAAACATGCAGTGCCAAGTTTTTATATTGCTTGCATTATATCATATTTCGTAGTGGAAACTAGCAGTAGGAATTAGGTCTTCTTTTGGAATTCAAAGGGAGATTTTCCTTGAATAACTCTTATGCATAGTATATTGGCCCTCAATCACAGAAGATCAGTCACGATGACATTGTCTTCCATTAGTTCCACTTCCTGCGTCATGTGGACTATATATGAATTTATATCTGCCAAATGTTCTTTGGACTAGCTACCTGGAAGAAAGCCATGACTGAATTCTGGGCTCCTAGCCGACGTGGTTCTACGCATCCTGACAGTCATAGCTGCACCATTCTTTCCTATGTGAGTGTTGCAGAGGAACCTCCTGTTTCTCTCCTAGCCTCAAGCTGGGCTTATGAATTAAACACTGCTTGCATCCTGTCCAAACCAGCTTCAGACTGCAGCTGTTCCACTGTTTGTCACTCCAACTGGTGCAGCTAACTGCCTTTGCATACACCAGTGTAGGACTCCAGCAAAGTAGAATGCCTGGGTTAGTGAGAAAGCTGAGACTTTCTAGGCGTCTCTCTCAGTTGTCAGATGAACAATAGTTGCTGCTTGACTAGTTCTGTACTGGTGGGCTTAACTCTGTTCTACGTCTTCCTTCACGTCTTCCTCTCCTGGAATATTCTGCTTGAAAGCTGCAACTGCAGTAAGCTTTGTGTCATGACAATCGGTGATACGAATTTTCTGGAACTCGGGTTCTACATTCTTACTTTAACAAAGGTAGCCTAACAAGCAGAAGAAAAGGGACACTCCTGCCCAAAGCAAGGTATATATTCCACAAGGCTGACCAAATTACTCTGACTCGAGGCAGAAAATTCCTTGGGAGTTAAAATACCATAATTAGGTTTGTTATCCTTTCATAACACTCAACACCAGCTGCCTCACTTTGGCTAATGGGAAGGCACCCAGTGCTTTGAATTTAGTAATCTGTCAAAAGCTGAAATGAGGCAGACAGCTCTGCAACACCTCTTTCCGTTTTGATCCATAATAACTTACTTGGAAAAGCAAAAATATGTCCCAATAATTATTTAGGAAAAAAAATCCAGATAGCCTCCTTTCTTCAGAGAATTCAGACTATAGAGAGATACAATCCCCTATTTCCAACACCTATTAAAACAAAAAACCAACAGATACAATTGAAGCATCACACATTGTAATTCTGCACCCAATGCCATTCTTTTGTCAAATGAATCTTCATCATACCCTGAGGACTCAATCTGGCTTCAATCTGAGATGAACCACATTACTGTCTTTACATTTCCTGAGCTTGAAGAACAGGGTAAGGTCAAGCTATGCCCTACAGCTGGTTGACAAAGAACTGACCCAGCTACTTTGACAGGATGATAGGCAAAGCTGGGTTTTCTGTAAGTGCCCCTTCTTGGACTCTGCAGATGAAAGGGGGGTCCCTTTGCCTAAACTAAAGACTTACTGTACATTGTTTGCCTTCATACTCACCTATCTCAGGAGGAGGTGCCTCTAACCTTCAAGGCAATTGATCTTCACTGATCACCTCTGGATAGTGATCCATGCCCTTGGGCTCCCCTGAATGCTGCTACTGTTTACACATCTAAATGTCCCCTGGCATTTAAATAGCATTCACTCTGATCTGAAAAGAAGGGCTGCTTAATAATTCTGAGACTGAATGCTTTGTCTTATACAAAGTATGATGCAAATGAAAAATACACAGTACTGGAGGAACCTGGTTTTAAAAAGTCACTAACCCTCCCCAGAGTTCAAAACAAAGCCTGGGAGCAGTGCCAGTTTCAGATCCAAGGGAACTCTTTGCCAAGATGGCCTTGCTGGGAACTACCGTCATGGTAGATGCAGCTGTCACTGCTCCTCTTCCTCTTCTCCATCAGAGTCAGCTCATTCCTTCTGAGCCAGAGAGAGAGAAAGAGGGTCAATGAACAAGGAGGCAGAGTGATGCTGGAGTGGTAGCAGGCTCCTGTGGTTGGTGACGGCCCCTTGCTGGGGCACAGGGACTGGAGCAAGTGTCCCGCAATGCTGCCCTCCCTGACCCCAGGCCTTTCCAGGATTCCTGAATGCCATCTGCCAAACTCTAGCATGAAGTATAAAAATCAATATATGCTGGTTAAAGTCCTGTGCTTAAACCAGCTGACATGAGAATCGAGGTTGCCTGGCAGTAAGCCTCTGCTTTTTAAAATTAACTGGTTGGCAGCCTTTAGGCACCTCCACCTCTAAACTTTTGTGTTTCTCTTGCTAAATCAGGTCCTGATAGAACAACAGGCAGTTTTGGTTCTCCCAACCTGTAAATCTGGTTGACAACAATGTGGAGAGACTAGTGCTCATACCAGGATATGAAATGTCTAACTGTGTGACCTATGACTGAGTTCTAGCCTCTTTCCTACCCTGTTTCCCCAAAAATAAGTCAGGGTCACAAATAATTTTTTGCTCCAAAAATGCATTAGGATTTATTTTCAGGGGATGTTTTATTTTTGTCATATACAACCATCTACATTTATTCAAATGCAGTCATGTCATCTTCTGGTTGCTGCACAATGGTGGAGGGCAAAATTTCACTTAACTGGGGCTTATTGTTGGAGTAGGACTTATATTACAAGCATCCTGAAAAATCATACTAGGGCTTATTTTCAGGTTAGGTCTTATTTTAGGGTAAACAGGGTAGTTCAAGAGGATTGTGTATGATGCAACACACAAAACCCAATACTGTATAGCATAGTCAATTATTTAACTATTAGGATACAATAGGCTACCCAACAAAGCAGAATGGCAGGAGATTAAAGACACAGAAAGGAACACCCTCACAAACTGCATAGTTAGACTATATCATTCACTATCAAGAGATAACCTGATGTCTGTCAATTTAAATTGCTTTAAACAATCAGCTAAATTCAAAGATTACAAGGTGATCTATGGTGTGTCCAGTGTCAGAGGCAATACACCTCTCAGTACAAAGTAATAGGAAATACAAGTGGCAGGGTCCTATTATACTACAGTGGTGCCTCGCTAGACGATAATCTGTTCCACTGAAATCGCTGTTGAGCGAAATCATTGTCTAGCGAAAAGCATTTCCCCATTGGAATGCATTGAAACCTGTTTAATGCGTTCCAATGGGGAAGAATAGTCATTGTCTAGCAAAGATCGGCCATAGAAAAGCCGCTTTGTGAACCGCCGATCAGCTGTTTAAATCGCTGTCTTGCGAAGCTTAGGTCCCGAAAACCCTGTTTTGCGAGCGTGGAGGGAGCTGTCAAAATCGTCGTCTAGCGAAAATTGCTTTGTGAAACAGGGATCAAACATTGTCCAGCGAAATTCCCCCATAGGAATCACTGTTTTGCGAATTGCTATAGCGATCGCAAAAAGTCAATGTCTAGCGAAAAAACTGTCATGCGGAGTAATTGTCTAGTGAGGCATCACTGTACTGTCCTGGTTCCGGGCTTCCTAGTGGCTCGTGGAACATAGTGCTGGACTACAAAGGCCTTTTTCTGATCCAGCGGGGCCTCCCACCCACCTACATAAAAACTCCAACCACCATCCACAGCAAAAAAAGGAGGCATAATAAAAACACTGGTAGACAGCACACTTTTTTTTAGACCGGGCAAATCGGAACTGTGAAGCTCAATTTCTCAGCACCGAACTCAACCATCTGAATTGGGCCCTACAGGCAATTGGCTACTCCAAAAATGAAATCACAAGAGCAATCAAACCAAGAAAACACCAAACTGAAGAGGAAAAACAGCCACCCACAAATAAAGTATTTCTGCCATACATCAAAGGGATCACGGACCGCATGGGGAAACTTCTGAAACAACACAACCTAGAAACAGTATTCAAGCCCACCACAAAAATACAACAAATGTTATAGTCAGCAAAGGACAAAAGGGACCCCCT